CCCATGTTTGGAAATTCGTTATTTTTAAAGTTGTTCCAAGTTGTTCTAGTTGTTCCTAACATTGTTCCAAAGTATTATTTGAAAAAACTCAAATTTGAAGCTGTCAGACAAAAAAAACCGTTTTTCAGATAGCCCGCCAAATCAAATCGTACTAGAGACAATAAATAAATCAACAATAATTTTAAACAATGACGATCGTATCAGTACGTTCCAATTTCATTTAATCATTTTGAATAAAATTAATAGTTATAAGACAAGAAAACATTACACTATAGGGTAAACTCCCTAATTGTTGGCACTTTAAGAGTAGGTTCCATGTCAGTCAGACATTAAATTACCATAAAATCACATCTAAATGAGTTAGTACACAACACATGTAACAGTATCAAGGAAATATAGTTCAATCTTTGTTTTCATAATAGTACAGTCAATGAAGGCAAAAATCAGCTATAACCTCCGATTTCGATGAACCTCCATTGATTTTCATGAAAAAAAAATGGTTGCCTGTAAAGTCGGTTTTACGGGCGAAGATTTTACGTGACAACGTCTTTTTCTCGGTAGAATATTTATTGATATGAATATAATTAAATTGCACAATAGGAACAAGGAATTGAATGAAAATAAGAATTGCACAAATTTTAACTATAGAAATATATTTTGTTTACTAAAACATTGTACATGTAAACTTAAACTTAACACGAGAGACTCATCGTAACGTTACCGAGCGTTACACTTTTTCATAAGTGACTCCCAGCCGCAACCTAATTTAAGACGTTGTCACGTCAAAATGGTGATGAGGTGGGGGATACCATATGAAACAAAAGTGACATAGTGCCAACTTGCGCTTTTTCCCTAGGGGTAGATACCACCCCTTCTCGGGGGTAAAAATTATTTTAATAAAAATAACTCCAGGAATCGATAGAAAGACAAATTCTAAGCAAAAGTTGTTATATTAAGTTTTCGAAATAAATCAATACTTTCTGAGTTAATAATGATCAAAGATTGTGATTTTGTGCCAAAAAATTCATGATTTAAGCGGTTTTTATAAATATCTCAAAAACTATGAGTTTAAAGAAAAATATATTATTACTAGACGCAACGAATATTCGGTTACTATTCGGTATTCGGCCTATTCGGCTGCTTTTATTATATTCGGCCGAATACCGAATACCTACATATTATTCGTCCGAATACCGAATACTTAAATAATATATTTTGTCATAGAGAAATAATTGGTAAAATGAAAATTAATATCGATTGATTACGTAGGTATATATTCATATTTTAATTTCTGTTATATATAATCATTAAAGTAGTCATTGGTACATAATCATCTTCTGAATTGGAAAAATGGAGGACTCTATGTATTTGAATTATTGTGGTAATCAAAATTTAAAAGGGTAAGGTTCTCATTTATTTTATAATAATTTATTAAGTAGTCATGGGTACATAAAACAGGTACATAATTTCATCATTTTCTGTATTAAACAAGTTAAGAATTTTTCTATGCATTTGAATTATTTTCATAATCAAAATTTAGAAGGGGGAGGTTATGGTGCAGAAAGATTAAATTTTCTGCATTTTTAGGAAGTAGTAGAAATTCTTTTTTTCTCGAACACCATCCCAGCTTCAGAGTAAAGGCGCTCTGAATAAACACTACTTCCTGGCGCCGACAAATATTTTGCTGCAATCTTAATCAAACACGGAAATTCAATTTTCCTTGCTGCCACCATGTATATGGGTTGTCATGACGTGATATATTACTAATATTTAAGAAAAGATCCATTTCTGTTGAAACTGCGTTTGACTGAATTGCACTGCAAACAAAAGGGCGCGAAACAATCACAAGTTTTTGGCGCTTGTACAAGTTTTTGGCGCTAAAATCCAGCCGGATACTTTTGCCTAATATTCAGCTATTCGGTCAGGGGCCTCGCCGAATATTCGGTATACTGCCGAATATACTATTCGTTGCAAGTCTAATTATTACCAAAATTGAAGCTACTAAAAAAAAACAAACCCCTTCTTTGAAAAACCTTCTTATATGAATTCAAAGTGAGCTATTGGTAATTGTATGTATATTTTTTTTCGACGAGTACTTAAATCTAAGTTTCCAACCCTAAATAACGGGAAACCGATGCATTTTAATGAATGGTTGGAATGAAGGGTTTATTTTTCGTTTTTCCTAAAAAAAATAAGTGTTATATTATTTTTATCATAACTTTTTAAATTTTGAAGTTGTTAACTTTTTACAGTACTCATTATAAAGGTATTTCTGAGAAATTTAAAAAGTGCTCCGGAAATGTATGTCATAAATTCATCGGTTTCCCGTTATTTAGGTTTGAATACTTAGATTTAAGTACTTGCCGAAAAAAATATATGTACATACAATTACCTATAGCTCACTTTGAATTGAAATTAGAAGATTTTTCAAAGTAGGCGTTTGTTTGTTTTTTTATTAGCTTCAATTTTGGTACTAACATTTTTTTGTAAAGCTCATAGTTTTTGAGTTATTTATGAAAAACCGCTTAAACATGTATTTTTATAACGCAAAATCACAATATTTTATCTTTAATAAATCAGAAAGTATTGATTTATTCCGAAAACTTAATATAACAAATTTTACTTAGAATTTGTCTTTGTATCGATTCCTGGAGTTATTTTTATTAAAATTATTTTCACCCCCGAGCAGGGGTGGTATCTACCCTCAAGGCAAAAGCGCAAGTTGGCACTATTTCACTTTTGTTTTTTATGGTATCCCCCATCTACTTACCAATTTTATTGTAATTTAATGTCAGCTACCTACTCTTAAAGTGCCAATAATTAGGGAGTTTACCCTATATTCTAATGTTTTCTTTTCTATTAATTTAATTCAAAATGATTAAATGAAATTGGAACGATATAGCCCACGGTTGTACTGTTGTTGTATAATCGTCATTGTTTAAATAGATTTTTGATGTATTTAGTGTCTCTGGTAGGTACGATTGATTTTATTTTATAGATAAAAGTTTTTTTTTGTCTTACAGCTTCAAATTTTATTTTTTTCAAATAATACTTTGGAACAATGTTAGGAACAACTAAAAAAATAATGAATTTCCAAACATGGGGGCTACCATAGAAAAACGGTTTTTCTTGTCTGGCAGCTTCAAATTTGAGTTTTTTCGAATAATACTTTGGAACAATGTAGAACAAACATAGAACAACCCAGAACAACCTAGATAATAATAAAATTCAAAAAGTGGGGGGCTAACTTCACAGAGGTGGGGCTATCTCAAAAACGGTTTTTTTTACCTGACAGCTTCAAATTTGAGTTTTTTCAAATAATACTTTGGAACAATGTAGAACAAACATAGAACAACCCAGAACAACCTAGATAATAATAAAATTCAAAAAGTGGGGGGCTAACTTCACAGAGGTGGGGCTATCTCAAAAACGGTTTTTTTTGCCTGACAGCTTCAAATTTGAGTTTTTTCAAATAATACTTTGGAACAATGTTAGGAACAACTAGAACAACTTGGAACAACTAAAAAAATATTGAATTTCCAAACATGGGGGGCTACCATAAAAAAAGTTTTTTTTGTCTGGCAGTTTCAAATTTGAATATTTTCAAATAATACTTTGGAACAATGTTAGGAACAACTAGAACAACTTGGAACAACTAAAAAAATATTGAATTTCCCAACATGGGGGGCTACCATAAAAAAGTTTTTTTTGTCTGGTAGCTTCAAATTTGAGTTTTTTCAAATAATACTTTGGAACAACGTTCGGAACAACTAGAACAACTTGGAACAACTAAAAAAATATTGAATTTCCAAACATGGGGGGCTACCATAGAAAAACGGTTTTTCTTGTCTGGCAGCTTCAAATTTGAGTTTTTTCAAATAATACTTTGGAACAATGTAGAACAAACATAGAACAACCCAGAACAACCTAGATAATAATAAAATTCAAAAAGTGGGGGGCTAACTTCACAGAGGTCACAGTGCGTCTGACAACGCTGATTCGCAGTATTATTATTCAAAAGAAATAGAAAAGAAAAAAGTGATGGCTACTGGATATTTTTTGGATTCCACAGGTTGTTTTCTGCTTGAATACTACTCAAGGAATTTAAATGTTTCGTTAATACTCATAATATTAGCCATTTCGTCGAACAAGAGTAACAAACGATCAAAAAATAATTGCAAGCACGCGTCCACTCTAATTTGCAACTCCAGTACCCTTAGCACGAACCAATATCGAATTCGTAACGTTTGCGAGTCCGAAATGTCATTGTCAAATGGGTACTGATTTTTAGTTCTCGTTACGCCCTTGTTAAAGTTTCCATACAAAATATGAAAATGACTTTTCGGACTCGCAAACTATTCGAATTCGATATTGGTTCGTGCTAGGGATCTAGTACTACGAAGTACTACTGATGCGTCCGCCAACGTGTGGACAGGCACGCCGGACGTCCGCCTGAATCCCTATGTTGCGTGCCACAAAAACCGAGAACTATCGGATTGATGGCAAACGCATCAGCGGACGTCAAATACCTACCGCAAACGCGCAAACTACCCCGTCTACAAGCTCGCCGACGTGACAGGGGCAGCGCATTAAATGAATTTATCATACTTAGAAAAATACAAATACACTAAAATAATATATTTTATTTATTATTCTTTGCCTTCGTATAAAGCTATGTTTTAACATTTTGAAATCTGGTAGCACTGCTTGCGTCGGCGTTTTTTTTTAGACAAGTATTGCCATAATTATATCATTTGCCGTATTCAAAGGTAAATTTTTAAATAAGACTATGATATTGTTTCACACATCGAGTTAAGATTTATTGTAATTTAAATTTAAAGGGAAAATATTTTTTAAAATCTTGCTTCAGGTATTATGTAGGTTTATTATGATGCCTTACAAACTGAGTTTATAGGAACTAAACGTTTATATTACACTATGATCAGGGGTACCGTTATTAGAAAAGTAAAAATAAAGGAAACTCTTGCAACGGTATCTGGCAACATAATTGAGGAGGTCATCGATGACTTTGCGATTATACAAAATTACAAAGGAAAAGTATAGCTGTTTTAGTGTGATTTTACTGTTTGTCTCAAGTTTTTTTAGTGTAAGCTTATAAATAAACACATCATGGCTGGTGCAATGTTATTCGAAAGATCACGTCTCTCGTCAACGAACAGAGACGAAGACGTCCGCATGACCGACAAAATGGTTAGCACTGGCGAGGTGCCCGAAGACGACGAAGAAAATATAAGGGCTAAAGAGCAAGGAATTTTGAACCTCGGTGAGAAATACAAGAAAGAAGGCAAAGCTAAGGAACTAGCCGAATTGATCAAAGCAACCAGACCATTTCTCAGTCTCATAAGTAAAGCAAAAGCTGCAAAACTCGTCCGATCGCTAGTTGATTTTTTCCTTGACTTGGAGGCTGGTATTGGTATAGAAGTACAATTGTGTAAAGAGTGCATAGAATGGGCGAAGGAGGAGCGTCGCACTTTCTTACGGCAGTCCCTGGAAGCCAGGTTGATTGCTTTATATTTCGACACAGGTATGTACACAGAAGCCCTCGACCTAGCCACAGCTTTACTGAAGGAGCTCAAGAAATTAGATGATAAGAACCTTCTAGTGGAAGTCCTTCTTTTAGAAAGCAAAACTTATCATGCACTTAGCAATTTACCAAAGGCCCGTGCCTCTCTCACTTCTGCCAGAACAACCGCAAATGCTATCTATTGTCCTCCTAAAATGCAAGCTGCTCTTGATTTACAATCCGGTATACTCCATGCTGCTGATGAACGTGATTTCAAAACTGCTTACTCATATTTTTATGAAGCCTTCGAAGGTTATGATGGGGCAGATAGCCCAAAAGCCCTTACTGCTTTGAAATACATGTTGTTGTCCAAGATTATGTTAAATCAGGCTGAAGAAGTGAACAATGTTTGTGGCAGCAAGGCTGCCCTTAAATACGCTGGGAAGGAGTTGGAAGCGATGCGGGCTGTTGCTACTGCTTCCCACAAAAGGTCACTTGCAGATTTTCAAGCTGCTTTGAAAACCTACAAGCCTGAACTCGAAGAAGATGCAGTAGTCCGTGCACATCTTGGAGCTTTGTATGACACAATGTTGGAGCAAAATTTATGCCGCATAGTAGAACCCTACATGAGGGTGCAAGTTGACCATGTTGCCCGCTGTATACGTCTGCCTGTTGTTCAAGTGGAGAAGAAATTGTCACAGATGATATTGGACAAGAAATTGAATGGTATTCTGGACCAAGGAGAAGGTGTACTTATTGTTTTTGATGAATCACCCTTGGAGAAAACATACGAGACAGTTCTTGAAACCATCCATCACATGAGCAAGGTTGTGGACACCCTGTACCAGAAAGCGAAGAAACTTTCATAGACCCATATTGTAAATTTGTTGTAGCATTAAAGTATGTATATCAAAGTAACCATAAATTTTCTGTTCAAATGATTGTAAATGAAACTATTTTTTGAATGAATACAAAATTTCATTATTTGTATCTACTGCAATGTTGTAAGCTAAATAAACAGTGACATGATTATGTAAACAAAAAAAGTAAAAACATTTTTAGAAATTGGAGAATAGCTGTGACATTGTTCCAGATATTCTGCATTGTGGTCTTCGCAATGGAATAGCTTCTTTTGCATAAATAACTTTGAAATAATACTAATTCTTTCCTTATACATTATTTTGTTAACATGAACTAGTAAAAAATTACAACATTCTGTTTTATTGAAAAAAATAAAAGGTGTTCTCCAAAATTATTGTTTGTTGATTCATCACCTCCCACTCGCATGCTGATTTTGCAAGTCATTTTGTTATTAAAACCAGGGTACTAGCAAGCACTTCACTGATTCATTTTAATGTAAACAATTCAAATATTCATTGATTTTAACCTCTTATAAAGAACTTGTGCATGCTGAGTTTTTAAAATGAATTTGATTTCTTGTTAAAAACAGTAAGGTCTGTTTCTACCAGAAAGGCAGTGATACGGTGAGCACTTCCAGCGTGAAGTAATCTTTACTTTATCTTATGTTATTCAATATTATTTTAAACATTTGTTTAGAATAAGTCGCGATGTCGCAGTATAGCATCGTGGGAGCTTGCAGATGCCTTCGGCTTAACATGCCTTCTGAAGCACGCTCGAGGTCGAGATAATAACTAGCATCGTGGGAGCTTGCAGATTTAACGTGCCTTCTGAAGCACGCTCGAGGTCGAGATAATAACTAAGTTTTCGGTCACCCATCTAATGATCGGTCATTGCGAAATTTGCTTAACTTCCACGATCGCAAGCCTATCGCGCTCACCACCTACGCACACATCAATCATCATGCTAATTCGAGCTGTACTGGATGTAGTAACTATTAAGTAATCTGTGGTACTGGTCTCATACTTAGCTTCCTAGTATGAGACCAGTACCACAGCAAAAACCTCAAGGTTTTTAATTTCCCACTTAAACTGCTCGCCAAGATCGTCATATACTGCTGGATAGGGTCTATACGGTATACCACTGTAATGAATTTTTGTCTAGCATCTCCTCAAAGAGAATAATTTCCAAGGACGCGGAAGTTGGTTGACTAGGATTGCCCACAATGTTGTCGATTCTGGCATTCGACAGCAGTGTATCCCCCTCATTCTCTATATAGAATGAAAAAGAGACTGATGTTATATTTAGTTTTAAGTTTAGAGAATTATGCCAGAATTGACACCAATATCTTTCTAAAAGGCAGCCAATGAACACACATAGCCAAATAGGAAGAGTAGAGTCCCACATTACTTCGTCGCACACCCGGTGCAATGCATTTTCCTGAATTGAGAGTACTTTTGCTATAAAATTATTACTATTATAGGAGGTATTTAAATACAAAAGTTATTAACTGATTCATTCAGTTTTTAATTTAGGGCTATTGCAATGATGCACATAGAAAATACGATGTTGCTCTTGTATCCAATTGCGGTACTTTAAAGCCAACCGGAACACTCCATTTGAACACTTGTTTGTCCATACAAATCAGTTAGTCTTGTTTCAATGAAAATGTAGTTTGCAATGGAATGACTTTAAATGGCAATCAGTATATTACAGTACTTACTTAGCGCTTAGGTACTTAGAAGGTTGACCAGAGAAACTTGGAGGCGCCATAACCGCTTATAAACGCATTTTATTGATTTTGATTTCCCAATTTACGTAGCTTTAAATATTAATTTTATAATTTATTAAGTTATAAATAATTTTCTGCTCATCTTAAACTTATATAGAAACAGGATAAAACACAGAAGCACTATAAAGAATAAAACTATTCTTTTATTTATATACATTATTTATTTATGATTGTATTTCAGGCCATAGTTAATTAATCTAGTTGATAAAATTAAATAAAACGTCTTACAACGGACACACATCAGTGGATATTCTAACACCACGACTGTTGCTTTTATTACAACGAAATAAAGAGGCCGTGAATTTCAAATTGTATCCACCAACGTGACCTTTTTATGGGTATGGAATGAACAAAATCTTAGCTTAGCTTACATTAGGAACTAATTAATTACTTAATATTCTTTTACTCTATTAATACATATAATTTATTAAAATATTCTTATACTTTTATCTAAAATATCATTAGGTACTACATGTTTAGAATTCATTAAGAATAAAAAGGGACATTTTCTCATCACAATGTATCTTAACCCACACTGTTGGTCCCGTTACAACGGTTATGGATCGAATAACATAGCAGTAATAGCACACACAATATTCGTAAGAGATTATCGTGTGTCTGTTTACTCCCTAATATATTCAAAAAAATTTTTAAAAATATATTTTTTTTTACAATAGTTACTTTTAAGTATATTCTTTAATAGTTATAGTATTCAGGTATACTAATAAGATGTCATAGTTAAATCAGTGCAGTAAGTTTTAAGGTTTGAAATTATTATAATGAATTATTTAACATCTTTACTGTTTTACATTTTCATTGGCTTGAATGACACTGAAAACACTTCTATACGGCTCAGTTAAGCTGGTCTCCAGCAAAAGTTTTTTGAAAACATTCAATGAAAACACATATAAATAGAAAACTTTGTTTCTGAAACATGTTTCTCTACACACGCAGTCTACTGCTCACGTGGCTGTTGTACACAAAATACAAAGGGCTACTTTCCAAACCTACGATCCAGGCAAAGGTGGATCCAGCTTTGGCGCCAGGGGGGGGGGGGTCATATAGTCGTGGTCAAGTCACAGTGGGTACAGATTGTGAAGTTGGTACAGTTGGACCCAGCCCAGGGGGGGTGGGTCATGACCCCCCCTCTGGATCCGCCCTTGGATCCAGGTGCAACATATGTCAAATTTGACAAAAGTTTCATACATTTAATGTCAAAACGTCAGAGTGAAAAGTTGTACTCGAAGCGTAGGTTTGGAAAGCAGCCGCCGCTAATGAGGTGTCAAAAAATACCAATAAAACAATAAACCCTACCCTATCGGTCACATTACAGCTCCAAGCAGTAAAGTACTATATTTGTATTAATTCCTGTATTTGGCATAAAGGAGACGTTCAAGTATTACGTAACGCAATTTGGGGGGAGGGGCGTAACTTTTTACTCTTGTAAAAAGTTACGCTGCGTTACAGGTACAGGAGGGGGGTTCGATCAAAGCGTTACGTAACATTGTTTTTGGAGTTTACTCCTTAAGAATCGATTTGCATATATAAGGGGCCCGGTATGAGAAAAATGTGGGGAGTAAAATCTATCGATGAATGACATTAATGACCTCGTTACGTTTTTGTGCGCAACCTCATCTGCGCACCTTTCACTTTTAGCCATGGCAACGGATAAAAAACATTAAGTTGTCACAAATGTCAATAAAATAAATAAACTAAAAATAGATAAAAATCGGAGCAAAATTAATGAAAACAAATAAATAACAGAATATAGAGAAATGCCGGTAAGTGTCCAGCACTCTGGAATAGTGATTTTCAGTACAGATGGAATTATAATACATATTTACAAAATGATGACTAGTGTGTGATATTTTTGAAATTGTGTGTTTCCAGAAATACATAATAAAATATATGATGAATATCACTGATGTAAGATGATAAAATGTGTGACATGGAACCTATGATAGTCGAAACCATGGGACGATTCCTGAGGTATCTCTACTTGTAACCGACTTCTTCGGACTTGATTTTGTTTTGTGTCTGTTCAAAGACAATCGTTTTTAGAGTGTAAACTCCGGTCGTGCGTCGGAGCTGACACACACATTTTATTTTTTATTTAAATTAAAAACCTAGGGTATTAAAATCTCCGAAATTGGCAACGCTTTTCGTTTATAGTTTGCCAAAGTTTAAAGTAAACAGGTTATTTTATTGACAGGGGTTCAAAAATCTTCAAAATTTGCATTACGTAATACTTGAATGCTCCCAAAGACTCATGACAACGCTTGATAGCAATAGTGAGTAAATTGTAGATTATTGGCGATCAAACGGCATTATTTCTCCGGTTAAATTCCTCAGTATCATCAGGCACGTCCCATCGCGGGTTCCAGAAACCTTCCGGAGTATTAGGTCTGACAGGATTGTTCTTCCCTCGGTGCTTAGAACACTCTTCCATTTTCTTCGCTAGCATCTCCGGGTTGTCTTTGTAAAGCTCTGCGTAGAACTATAGGGGTAAAGGAATAGAATATTAATAACTTCAACGCAATAATAGTGAGTGCCCGTGAATACATCTACTTGGAAATGTTGGTTTGCCATACAAAGTTACCAAACCCAAAAATCAATCTTCAAGGGGCTGAAAAGGGGGGTACTTTTCAGCCCCTTGAAGGTTGATTTTTGGGATGAAAACTATCTGATGTCTTTTCTTAGGATTTAAAGTATATATCTTTTAATATTTCTATACCAGTTATGATGGTATAATATGTGAACAAATAAAACAAACGGACATGTGCTGTTCACATGCGATAGAAGTGAAACCTACAGAAATGTGAACACGTTAAAGTCCTTCATGCCTAGGTCCGTCTTAAAGACAACACCTGTGTTAAAATTCAACTCTCTAGGTCAAACTTAAATGTAATAATAATGTAATGTAGTTAAATTGTTTCGAAAAATGAATAATAGCTTAATAAAAGAAAAAAAAAACCGGCCAAGTGCGAATCGGACTCACGCACCGAGGGTTCCGTACAAACTCAATTTAATACCTCTACGCGTTCATGAGAAAAGAGGTTGTAACTTTAAAATTTTCAAAAATATTTTTTATTATATGATGCAACTCAAAATTTATGGTTTTCGCAATGGTTCCTTTATCTGTACTATATTACCTTACTTCGTACCAAATTTGAAGATTCTAAGTTCACAGGAAGTACCCTGTAGGTTTGGATTCCCGTGCGAGTTTCGAAAATTTGCGGCATGAACGGCTGTATCTTTTGATTACTTTGTCTTATATTTAGCTCCAAGGCACAGTAGACATGAGTATTAGATATGAATTTCAGTTTGATACCTCCACGCGTTCCTGAGAAAACGGTCTTGACAGACAGACGGACAAAAAAGTGATCCTATAAGGGTTCCGTTTTTTCCTTTTGAGGTATGGAACCCTAAACACAATATAAAAATAAAAAAAATTACCGAGCTCAGGCTCGAACCACCGATCGTTGGTGTTGACCCCAAGACCGATACCGTTTGGCTATCCGTCTCTTATGGTAAATGACAAAATTACGGACACCTTGTGTCAAATACTCTACTTCCGTTTCATCGAATCTCGGGGCTAAAGAAGATATCACTTCAAAAACAATGGTGTCGATTCCGGCGTGATTCTCTAAACTTAAAACTAAATTTAACATCAGTCTGCCCTTTTCATTCTGTATAGAGAATGACAAGGATACATTGTTGTCAAATTTACGTTTAGATTTAGGGAATTGTGCCAGAATCGACACCATTTTCATCATATTATGTATACCATATTCTACGAAATAAATATTTATCTTATTTTATCAATATACCCATCTAAATCGATTAAGAGATTTAAGCGTGAAGAGATAACCGACAGGCAGACTAACAGAACCAATTTTGCATTTATAATATTTATTATGGAAAATAAAGTTTAAACAGAACTACAACAGGAACATTAGTAAAACTCGTAAGAGAAGCAGGGTACCCCCTTGCCTTGGGTAGGCAGTAACTTTCATATTACAAAAGACTACAGTAAAAAAACAAGCGAGCGTTACAGTAGTCGCTTATGATGAGTAACATTTGAAACCTCACCTTATATTAGTAAAAAAAAGAAATAAAACCTACTAAGAAAGGAATATGAGGTAATGAGGAGCTCGATGGCGTAAGTGGTTAGCGCGTTCGGCTGCGATCGTTGAAGTTAAGCAACTTTCGCAGTGGTCGGTCATTGGATGGGTGACATTTACTATCTCGAACCCCTCCGTGCTTCGGAAGGCACGTTAAGCCGTTGGTCCCGGCTGCATCTGCAGTCGTTAGTACCCACCAATCCGCACTGGGCCCGCGTGGTCGGTCATGGCCCAATCTCCCTATTCCATCAATAGGGAAGGCCTGTGCCCCAGCAGTGGGGACATTAATAGGCTGATTATGATGAAGAAAGGAATAAGCCATTTGAACATTATGTTCTATAATCAAATAAAATAGCGCGCGCTTTCGCGACTTCCTAGTACACACTTCCGTTCCATTTCACGTAATCACTCCCACAAATTGCAGGAAAGCGAGAGGAAAGATGTTACACATCAAAAAGCACTACTTTTGGGTAAATAAAATGGTAGGGTTCTTCAAAATGTTTAAACTTAAATTATATGGGAACGTTTTATATATAAACACTTACATTTTTGCACTCGTCACAGCTCCACCCCGGCAGAGCACGCTTTTCTGCCTTTTTTCTTAATACGGGCTCTTTGTATACGGGTTCCACGCGATCGAGTATTTTGCTGTGACCGTAAAAGTCGGGGTCATTCATAAATTTCGTCACACAATAAGGGGGAGGCAGGGGGTCGACGAAGTGTGATCTCCCCCTCTAGCATGACCACCGAAACGGGATATGATAAAGCGATATATCGACATTAACTGTCAGACTACTGTCAAACTCCACTGTAGTCTGACAGTTAATGCCGATATATCGCTTCATCATATCCCGTTTCGGTAGTCATGCTAGAGGAGCAGGGGTGGGAGAGGCCCCAAGTTTCGTAACGCCACATTTCAAAATCGAATCTACCTTTGAACTATTACCAAAAGCTTCAAAATATTTAGATCTCTATCTGTATGGGTTTTTATTTGTCTTGTTGGCTAATTTTACTTACTACGGAACTGCTATTTCAATTTAATAATTTCTATTCACATTGGCGTGAGACAAACTGTAAACAAACCATAAAAAGGATACTTTTTAAGGTCACATTTGACAAAAGTAAAGATTACATACTTTTTTTTACATAGGAAATGCAACGAAACATTAAGTTAATTATTTTAATAGCTGGTACATGTACATATGGATAAGAACATTTAAAATTTTACACATATTTAACGTAAATACACATCATAAATTCGTATTTTTTTGTTGTGCTGATAAAAGTATTTTAACAACTTAAGTTGACATGGAAAATGACCTAAAAACAGAATCATTCCCAAACATAAGACGTATTATAATACGACAAAATTTAAGAGTAGACATGATATAAGTATTTGTCGTTGCAGTGTTGTGTTTTGTAATCGGTTGGTTTACGTCAGCCATCTTTACTCTTTCCGATCAACCTGTTGACGCGAGCGTGCATATTCCATCTTATTTGTTAAATTCTTGTTATTTCCTTGTTTTATTAGTTATTTTTTTACTGTTAAGTTTAAAGTTGTTAATAAATTATACCTAATCATTGACTAATATGTACTTTCTGACATTATAAAAGTTTTAGAACCTCAGATTCTTTGTTTACATTTTGTCTTACGGCAAAGTGAATATAGATTATAGATGCAAAATTTTTGACGTCACACCAGGGGGGTGGGGAGTCATTTCACAAATGTGACAACTATGACAAGAACGGGGAGGGGTAAAAATTTATGAAATTAGTGTGAAATAAGTACTTTATGGATGACCCCATTGTAACAAACAGACATCAATAGAATAAAATAAAAATTGTAAGTATAGGTAGCGGCAAACTTCTTGTGCAAAACTACAGACAAACAAACTTGCGCAGTAGACGTTTTTGCATGTAAAATTGCTACTGCGCAGGTTACCTTGTCTATATATCGTTCCTCAAGAAGTTTGCTGGGCTGTATACCTTTTAACATTGTCTTCGGCGGCGTCGCGGGTCTTCTCAGGAACAAGAAGTGACATGCTTGAATCAGTGACAGGTTGCGGGGATACGTTCACAATATTCTTGTTTTCCTCTAAGGGGCGTTTGCTCGGACTGTTAATAACACAAAGAGATAATATAATCATCATCATCATCAGCCTATTAATGTCCCCACTGCTGGGGCACAGGCCTTCCCTATGGATGGTATAGGGAGATTGCACGTGGGCCCAGTGCGGGTTGGCGGGTGCTAACGACTGCAGATGTGGCCGGGACCAACGGCTTCACGTGCCTGCCGAAGCACAGAGGAACTCGAGACAATATGTTTTTGGTCACCCATCCAATGACCGACCATTGCGAGAGTTACTTAACTGCCACGATCGCAAGACGAACAATTTGTCCACCTGCGCCAACGAGCTTCTATTAACATTACAGGGAGATAATATGATAAGTATACTTAATTCATTCTTTTTCTAAGTAGTGGGTTACTTGTTAGTAATAAAATGAATTTATGGCCCTCAGGTTCGCTTCGGACAAGCAAGAATGGTTTTTGATCTGTTCTGGGATTTTTTAGTAATTTTTTCTTAAGATTTAAACATCTAACAGTTAAATGCTAAAAAAATACAGAATATAATCAGTTGCTTAGTTTAAAAGATTAAATAGAACAGACAGCAGGAGCGACTTTATTTTATTCTAATGTTAAAATACGCTTTTAAAATGGTTATAGTAGGACAAATCCTGCGAGAACATAAAAAAGATCCAGAGACGTTATGCCAGTAAGTAAATGAAATATGTAGTACAAGTTAAAAAATACATATGAAGCTCATATTACGTTTTCAGTCGAGTATGAAATTTTCAATAGCTTACGTGTCATTTTTCAACACCGTTGTGAATAATAATTAATAGTTTCTTACTCACGATTTATGAAATTATAATTTTCGGGATCCGTAACAAGGAAAATATTTTGGCGCGCAGTCTTTTTTTTTATTTCTGTTGTCGGTATTGCGCGTGGTGCTATACATACAGCCAACCATATTTTTTTAATAAATTGAACTTGTATATTATTTCAATTAAAATATGTATAAATTAAGGTAAATTTCAAATAACTTGATAGATAAAACTGTTTTAGGACGCCAAAGTTAGTTATTTTACAAGGAAATTTAAGATAAAAAACTTAATATAATATTAATAGTTTAGATCAGTGGTTCTCAAACTTTTTAAATGACGGAACCCTTTTGGGAAGCAAAATACTTGATGGAACCCTACAATAAAACAATTATTTTTATAAGTGTATTCTATATTAATCAGCATAATAAAAGTACAATGTATCCGTTACTAATTATTATTTACTTCACCACTTGGTAAGGACAATAATAGAAAACATTAAAAAAGAAAAAATCTAACTAGTGGGAGGTATGAAACTGTTTTTTATTTTTCATCAATTGCTTGATATCAGGTTTGATGGAAGAAAGTTGGAGTCTCATATCAGCTTCGGCGTCCAGTCTATTGCGATATTTTGTTTTCGTGGCTGCGTAGGTAGAGAATCCTGTTTCGCACAAATATGTAGTTGGGAACGGGAGAAGAATATCCAGAGCCATTTGGCCAAGCATTGCATATTCATCTTGGATTCTGCACCAAAAATCATTAAGAGGCGTCGTTTTGAACAATGACTCCATACTTGTGTCTGATGACATTTCTAAAAGAGATTCATATATCTCATTTGACATGTTTTCAGGCTTTTCCAAGTTGGGTAAAAAAGGATTATGAATCCAGGAGTTCACTTTAATTTTTGTATTGTGTTCTTCGGGAAAATACTTTTCAAAAGATGCGCGCATCGAACTGAGATATTGGACCAATTCTTCAAACACATTATCTTCAAACATTTCTGAGTCGTTTTCGCTAACAAACTCAGTGAGTAACGTAAAACTTTCTATTTCTTTCTTACCAATGCAAATGATCCAAAAATCTAATTTTCTTTTAAAAGTAGTTATTTTATTATAGGCCTGAAACACTGTTGTCTGTTTACCTTGCAATGATAAATTTAATTCGTTAAGTTTTTGAAAGATATCCGCCATAAAAGACAATCGGAACAACCAAGTTTTATCATACAAACGGTCCTTCAAATTAAAAGAAGTATCTGCTGAAAGAAACATTTGTAACTCGGCTCTAAGTTCAAATAGCCTTGTTAAAGTTTTTCCCCGAGACAGCCATCGCACTTCTGTATGGAGCAGCAGTGTTTTATGTTTGCTGCCATAATCTTCACACAATAATGAGAACAATCGGGATTGTAGTGGTCGTGATTTGATAAAATTAATTATTTTTACCGCTTCATCCATAACTAATTTTAGATTAGACGGCATTTGCTTCATCGCAAGTGCTTGTCTATGCAGAATACAATGACTGGAACTACAATTAGGCGCTTTATTTTTCATTCGTGACACTGCTCCTGCTGTTTTACCTGTCATCGCCTTGGCCCCATCTGTACAAATGTCAATGCAATTGTTCCAACTGAGATTATGTTCTTCAAAAAATATATTTATTTTATTAAAAATTTCTTCCCCGGTAGTGTTTGTAAGCAGCGATGAACACATAAGCATGTCTTCTTCAAAAGAACTTTTATATGGATATCTCACAATAACCAGCAGGATAGCCAAACCAGCGACATCAGTCGACTCGTCCATTTGCAAAGCGAATCGTGTATTTTGTAGACGTGTAACTAGTTCTTGTTTGACGTAGCTTGCCAGATCATGGATTCGTCGTGAAACAGTATCGTTTGATAGCGGAACAGTAGAAAGATGCTTTGCAGATTTTTCATCAAGCATACATTTTGTTATGTCTAATACACATGGTTTTATTAATTTCTCAGCGATAGTGTGCGCTTCACCTGCTTGTGCAATGCGATAGCTAACTAAGTATGATGCCTCCGTGGCCTTTTCGTTGGTAGTTTGTGTTACATGCATCATATTTTTTTGACTTTCTAATAACTGATCTTTTTTGCGAACAAAAAATTCTTTATTCTTGTCTTTAGTCTCGGGGTGTACGGTTTCTAAATGTCGACGCAATTTGGCAGGTGCCATGGAACTATTAGGAAGCAGTTTACTACAGAGCATGCAGAGAGGTGAGCCGTTGGAATCAACAAATCCGAAACTGATATAAGATTCATCATACTTCCTTTTTTTCGTCTTTGAAACCGTCGAGCTTGACGTCGTGGCACTCGTGGCATCATCTTCTGGATCGGTGATTGCTAAATTCTCCGCGCGCATTGCTTTTGAACATTCAGCGTCATTAGAAGATGTTGTTGGAACACGTTTAACACCTTTAAGCCAACGTTCCATTCTTCTTTATTTATAATGTTACAAGTCAGGATAGTGGGGTTTAAATAATGCACAATCGTTACTGCGTATAAGAGACTAAATTTAGAACCTACAGGGAAGAAATGTATAAAACTGAGACAACAGAATACAGCAGGCAGTAAAACAATGAACACCAGTTTCTCGCTAGCGAGCTTGTAAGTAGGTAGTAACTTATCGCTCCGAACGCTAATCATCAACTGACGACGCCAACGCGCGATCGCCGCTTTTATACTTAGTCCTAGACTCGATCTCAAATATTCTCGAAAATACTCGAGTCGGCACCTTTGATAAACAAAAAGCAAAAATAAAAACAGAAATTTAAAAATAGCGTTGTAAACAATATCGACTTTATCCTTTGAAGTTAGAGACGAAAGTCGCTAGTTGACAACTATAGCGTCTAATTCAGAGGCGGCTTTTATCAAAGAGACTGAGCGCTTACAAGTATACTACCCGCTCGTTTTAAGTTTGCCGCTGGCGATAGGTATGAGTGTATGACGTTCGAAATTTTTTATTTAATTGTAACAATAAAAATTGTGTACGTTAGATATTTGGGTAAAACTATGACACATTATAAGTTTTGTTGTCACGTGGGGGAGGGTACGCGCATTCCACAGACCGGCAAACTTAGAGCGAACGCGTTGTAAAAGTATAAAATTGTTGAGACCAAACTTATGAGATATTGTACCAGCTAATGTAACACAAGCTTATACAAATACAAATAAATAAATAAATAACATTCATAGCGTTTTGTCTCCGCGCGGCCGCGGAGTCCGCACAGCCGCGGAGCGACCAGAGAGAGGTGTTTTGATTTTTTTATTTCTAAATTCTTGCGGAACCCCGACAGAGGTATCACGGAACCCTAGGGTTCCGCGGAACACACTTAGAGTATAGCTGGTTTAGATATTTCAAAAAAGTGCTTGTAAATCTAAAACAAGCAGAGAGTTTCAGTTGAGTAAGCATAACTCGCGCCATTAAAAAAAGAATCGCGAATGACGACACAAGACATTCTGTCCCTCTTGCAAATGCTATCCTAAGTAACGTCCGAGAGAGACAGAATATCTTGCGTCGGCATTTTCGATTCGTTTCTTTAATGGCACAAGTTATATACTAATAGAGTTTACAAACCTCAACATATCGACGCGTTGCAATATCGACAGGCTCGATGCAATCTCGCAATGGGTTTCGTCGTAGTCCATTGAAAGCTCTTTCTTTGGGCAATTTTCTTTAGTGTCTTTTGGGATCCTAAAAAGTGTTGATACTGATATATAAATCATATGAACTATAGGACGATCTTATAGCATTTTTCCTACCTCCAGTTCAGATATTAATAAGGAAACAAATTTTTTGAGCTGTTATTTAAATATTCGAGATGTTATTATGATCAGTTGAAAAACATATTGAGCAGTTATTCAATTTAATGGCGGTTTATTGTTTTAAACTTTCATGGTCACTAACATTATAGTAATATAAGACATTTGCGGGATTGTTACCATGTACCTTGTTTTAAGCGAGTTTCCGATGTTTCGGCACTATTGCAAGCGCCATGATCACGGAAACTAGCTTAAAACCAGGTACACCTTCACAGCCTCATTATCAATACATTTTATAAACTGTTAATAATGATTATGTATGTATGTATGTATAAATATATTATAAATATTGTATATATACACACATCAAAAGTGTCTAGGGATCAAGCATTTTTATGCGGATTTCTTGAGATTGAGATGTGGCTTTGTAATAAATTTATGATTTTATAAATTTATATGGATCCTTTTTGGTGCATTTCATAATTTGAATCAGGAACTGTGAATCAAATTCGAGTAAAAGATGAAAATCAGCTGTCAATATTTTCCCTATAAAAACATACAACGCATTGAAGACATTATTAGTGCTACTGTTTCCCTACTACTGATTAAAACCAACGTTATTATGGAGCGGCGACGTCATTTAAGCAGGGAAGAAATGCTCAGAGCCGTGGGAATGATAGAAGCTGGTTCCCGGCAACGTACTGTGGCTTTAGCTCTGAATACAAGTCAGAGTGTTATCAGTCGACTTTGGACACGATACCGAAGCACTGGTACCGTGGCTGAGCGCCATGGAGGACGGTATCGCTGCACCACATGGAGACAAGACCGATACATTCAAATCTTAACTCGAAGAGCTCCAACAATAACCGCCATGATGTTACCCGTGAGGCTTCATCACTCTTCAGGGAACTTAATTAGCGACCAAGCAGTCAGAAACCGCTTGCATGAAGTGAACCTTCATTCCCTAAGACCGCTACGGGTACCACCTATAGCAATGCACAATCGTAGGATTCGATATCAATGGGCTCTTGAACACAGAAATTGGGCAGAAGAACAATGGCGTTTCGTGTGCTTTTCTGATGAGTCTCGTTTTGGTATGAGACCGGATACAAGACGTATACGACACTGGAGAACCCCTGGACGCCAACAGCGATTAAAATCCTGCCAGGAAGTCCATCCTTATAGTGGTGGAACCATCATGGTATGGGCGGGTATTTGGATCGGCGGAAGAACTGAGTTGATTTGGATCAGAGGCAACCTCAACGCTCAAATTTATGCTGAGACGATTGTATCAGACGTCATCGTTCCTCTACAAGTGCAAATCGGTCCCTTATTTCAGTTAATGCATGATAATGCACGACCGCACACCGCAAGAGTTGTAAGACAGACTCTCGCCGCAGCTAACATCAATGTCCTGCCCTGGCCTGCTCAGTCGCCAGACTTGAACCCGATTGAGCATGCATGGGATATGCTACAGAGAAGAGCTCTGCCGAATATGGAGGGTATCCAGTCGCAAGAAGACCTTTTTTTGTTGTTGCAACGAACATGGGCGGCCATTCCACAGCGTGATTTGGATGAACTCATTTTGAGTATGCCAAACCGATGTTCTTGTGTTGTTAGTGTTCGCGGTAGAAATACGGATTATTAATTGTTTAAGTTACCCAATAAAATTTTAGAGAAAACTGTTATTTCAGTCTTTTTTTTTCGAACTTTTGTGTTAGTGGTTCAAATGTCAAAAATCCCTTTATTAGGAAAATGGCAAATTTCTTTATTAATGCAAAGGTGACTTGGTTTATCGTTACTGTGACAAACGAAAACACTTTATTTGATGAATCCTTAAAGAAAATTTTAATTAATATCAATCAGGAGAAAAGTTATTGCAAAAATATATGTTGATCCCTAGACACTTTTGATGTGTGTATTTAAATGTATTCTATGCATGTATATTTAGGCTTTTTTTAAATAAAGATTTATGTAGTTACTTTTATTGGTGTATGTTTTTAGTTAATCACTTTTTTAATATAGCCGCATTCATGAATTTCTTTATGCCTAAAGCTTGACTGGTAGAGAGTGCTTTTAGCGTTAAGTCCGCCTTTTGTCCATTCTTGTAATTGTGGCAATAAAGATTAAATAAATTATTATTTTTGTAGTGTTTGGCTTTAAAACTAAAAAAAAGTGTATAGTAAGTAGGCTCTAAATCCATGTCTGTAGTAACAGGTACATACTTCTAGTTTTTTAGCTAAGAGATAATTATGGCGTCTTATTCTTTCGCTTTTGCAAATAAGCTTAAAACTTACCTCAACGGATTTAACAAATTAATAGACTCTTCATAGTTTTCGGACTGTTCATTTTTAGTAATGGGGCTGTTTATTTTCTCATAGTCATCGTTTTGTGCGAATTTACATTCAGATTTTGCTTTTAAAGATAATGGGGGTTTCTTGAAGGGGCTACTTTTTAATGTGTTTTTTAATCTGTGGAATAATAACTAGATTATCAATCATACATTTTCTTTAAAATACACAACACACATACTGAATAATAATAATGTTTCAGTTAAATGGATATATTCAATACATATTAAATGCACTAACATGTAATATTATAATTGTACTTAATATAATCCTACTAATATTATAAGTTTTAACAATTGTATGTTTGTAATTCAATCACGCAAAATGGCTCACCAGATTTGGATGAAATTTTGTACACACACAAATATATACACAAATATTGTTGGTTGTACAATAAGTATAACATAATTGTAAGGCTTTCACTTAACATATATTGTACAACTGTTTGTTATCCCTAATAAAATAAAATAAAAAATAATATAGTTTATTAAGTAGTTTGAGACAATGGAAACTTTTCATTCTTAAAAAAAATAGTTTCTTGTTTTCCAGATTGGATAAAATAAGAACTATAATTATTATGTACTTAAAAACTTTAAGTTTTAATCCCAGAACAAGAACCAAAACATAGAAATAATGCTATGACGTTTGAAGGTACTCTACCATAGACAATATATTATCCGTTAGTGATACTCTAATATTATAAGAGCTTTAGAGTTAAGACTATGGCCATTGGAAATGAAAACTCTAGAAAGAGAAACAGGTTTTTCCTTATGAGATATAGAACCCTAAAACAGCTATTACATAGAGAAATTATAGCCGCCCGATCGATCCGTCTCTCTCACATTTATCTACCTAGTGTTACTTTAGTTGTTGGACAAGGAACATCCATACTCAATGTCTGTACGGTCTCATCGCCGCACATACCGAGCTGAAATAGCGGCCTACTTCAGGTCGCGCGTCATATCTTTTAATTTCATTGATATTATATATTAATTACGTGAGCACGTTAAGAACGCGCATTCGAAACAGTCAAGCAGAGAGTCAACTTCTAACTATTTTATCTGTATTTATGTTCGGTAACAATTAATCGACTGACAATTATACAAAGGAGACTTTAGATTTTTGGCCAATTTTGTACCTTGGTACAAAATATACAAAATAATCTACAAAATTCTCGATTCTAACTTTATCTAAAATTATACTTAAAAAGACTCACTCATCAAAATTTGGAAGTAATTAAAAAAATGCTGAAAATCTGAATTAAAATAGGTAATCTGCGTATAAAGAAAAGGTTATCTTAGCCACAATTTGTCATTGACTGACAGATGACAGCCAATACTATTGGCTTAAATTCCGTAGCTAATTTGTAGATGCACATTTACCATAATATTTTATCTGTGTTGCCATTATTTTAAATGTATGAACTGTTAAATGAATGATGAATTTGGTGTATTTTTCTACACATTAATGCATGTATGGAGAACAGAATGGATCCTTTAACTTTGATGACTTTGTTAACTGCGTAGTTCAAACATAGCCACAGACATTATACTATAGGTACAATATCTATGGCTTATATAAAGTACAAACTTAAAAGATGCGGATAAATATAATGAAAATACTTACAACGAAGGGTACTTCGGCGGTCCACTTGTCGGAGACGGTAGGATTGTCTCATCGTTATCCGTTGACTCTTTTTTTACTAAGGCTTCAACTAAAGGCTTCAGGAAAGAAAAAAAAATAGTTTAGTACTTTTACGTTTAATAGGACTCTCACTTCCATTGTGCTGTGATTTTCACTAACTTTCTGTTTCAACTCTTATAGGGATAATGACATTTTTTTTCTTCATCTATCAAAATTGGGCTTTCTATCTAGGCATTCTATCAAAATATCTCTTTATTCACATAATCAAATCATTACAGATATATAGACTGGAAATGTCGCTTGTTTACTTAGAAGTGACGTCACGAACCCCCACTCTATTTTTTATAGTCTAACCGACGGACTAAATATAATTTCTTTTAGTTAACCCCGTCATCGTCCCTTTTGCTTGAACTTATCATCTAAAAAGAGAAGAAACTCCCAATCACAGAGATCATGCTCAAACAAATATTGCACAAAACTTCATCACATTCTTCAACTGTACACAGAATCGAAAATAGATTGTAGATTAAAAATACAAGATATCTACCTTGCTATCATTAAGTGAGTCCCTAGACATAAGCTCTGGCGAACTGGTAAGATCTACAAAGGTGTTTGTCTTATGAGTAACGACACTCAACCGCGACTGCCTTAGTTTTCCTTTACCTCTGCCTTTGGTAGGTGTTGGGTAGATCAATTTGACAGCTTTCTTTTCAGGTGTAGGCCTGAAAATAAAAAAAAATATTACCACCCGAATAGCGGTAGATGCAGTTTTTTATAGTAATATTTTATTTACAATTGTAATTCGTTTATTTTGCAATCTAATCCACCCACTTATGTCTCAGGAAAATGTACCACTCCTTCATCTACAGCCTCAAATGCTTCTTTGCAGTAATGTAGGGCGTGCCACAGGGCTCAATATTAGGTCCTTTGTTATTCTTAATTTACATTTAATCTTTAAATTTTTGCTAATGATTTAAGTACCTATATGAAACAATTTTATACAGATGATATTTTTTGAGTACAAAGTTTACAGTAGTACCAAATATTCTTACTAGAGTAACTTTACATTAATGATTGCCATCTAATAATGATCTAAAAAAATCTCTGCACCCATGCTTTAAAACCGATAGTAAAGATTTTGAAACACCTTATTGACAGCATTAAAACATCCAATGTCATTATGAAAAAAACATTATAATACCTGTTTGGATGTTACAATTTTTTTTAAAAAAAATTATAATAATACCTTCGCGTTTTAAATCCCTACCGCGGGAGAAGCTTGCTCATCAGACAGCCACAATTTACACATATATTTAAAGAAAGGTATTATGAATTTCAAGAAAAGAATATAGTCATTCACGCGCCCTTTACTAATACAGTGCCGAAGCATTTCATGAGTTTTAAGTTCCTAGGACACCCCATTGTTTCAGAATCTTTTATAGAGGGTATATCATGGGTGAAGATATAGTCTTGTATGCAATTGTTATAATTAGGTATTAATACAATCATGTCATACTATTAACCCACGTTTGTGTTTTAATACCCCTCATTATACAACAGTTGTATAAATAACTATAACAAATAAGGTAATATGAATAAAGCTCATTTTCATCTCATTTTAAAGGTACTGTTCACCCAATAAAAACTTACCAATCTTTTGGACATTTTTTCTTGTCTCTATAATCTGATGAATGGTTATTCAATCCATTGCGAATCTTAATTGATTGTATTATAGGGCTGGTTCTACCAGGCGTGCCCTCAATTTCTATAAGTGATTCCTCTTTAAATGAAACATTTTGAAATGAGTCAGATAACTCTTTTTTAATACTGCATTCCTCTATCTTAATATCCTTAACATTTTCTTTTGATTCACCAGATTGTTGCAATTTTAATGGGATTGGTGCATCACCAAGTATTATTTTTAGTGCATCATCAATAATATTTGAATTTTTTGTTTCATACCATTTTGTGAGCTCTGAAACTAAAAAAATCATTGGCTAACAATGCTGCAACGGTAGCAGTAATAAGAATTGTCAAGAAAAAGTTGTTTAATAGCTTTAAAAAATAATTATTGACATTGTGGGTTACCTACAACGCGAATGCAGCGCCATGCTGACTTGCAGCCTAAGGCTAGAGAAAATTCGATACGGCCGTCAGGGCCCCGTTAGCATAATGGTCAGTGCATTTGCCCGGATAGCGAAGGGTGCTGGTTCGAGTCCCGTCTGCTGCCCGGTCCGTGTGGAATTTTTTCTAGTAAACTTTTCTTTAGATTTAAACATCTAGCAGTTATATGAATAAAAAATAAAAACCTCCCTATAATTGCTACCTCTTCCTTGAAATGTTTAAGACTTGTAAAAGTATTCATTTGACATTATAGGTTACGTACAATACGAAGAGATGGCGCTGCCTTGCAGCCTAAGGCTAGAGAAAATTCGACACAGCCGTCAGGGCCGCGGTCGCATAATGGTCAGTGCATTCACCCGGATAGCGAAGGGTGCGGGTTCGAGGCCCGTCTGCAGCCTGGTCCGCGTGGAATTTTATCTAGTAAACTTTTCTTTAGATTTAAACATCTAGCAGTTAAATTCTTAAAAAATAAAAACATAAATATATATTATTTTTTTCTTGCCAATTTGTACTAGTAATTTAATAAGAAAAGAAACTTAAAAATAATTTCCATTTTATTTTACTATACAGAGCAATGGATAAAATGTAGAAGATTTAATCGATTACTTATTCAGGCTTAAACTAGGGTTGCCAACATTTCTCCAGCATATAGAATTTTTTAGACGATGATATAAAAAATATAGTATTTTACGGAACACTCAAAAAATAGAGTAAAATGTGTATTTTCTTACTTATGCATTTTTATAAAAACCACCACTTTTCAAAACCATTTTTAGGGCTTATCAAAAAAATAACAATAGGTATCTAATTGGAAATAATTCTTCTGCCTTTTGCTTAATGGTGTATTCACAAAATATGCATAAACGTCAGAGCAACTTTTTGCTCTGACGTTTCATTCATGTTGAATATGTACGAAATTTATGTCAATTTTGACATTTGCTGCGTAAGTCCTAAACGCAACCCAGGTTTGACTCCCTAGGCTTACCTACTATCACTAAATAATTTATATATATTCTGGCTATGATGTTTTATAGTCATAGATACGCCATACACGCTTCTAATTTGCCAATACAAAAGTCAGGTAATTGCCCCGCTTATATTCAGTCCGTACGCTCCCTTGCCACAGTAAATATTTTCCATTTTTGAAGTCAAATAATCCTATGTATAAAAAACACACGGGAACTATTCATGACAAGAAAAAAATTTACATTTTAATTGTGAGTATAGTTTTAAAGAAATTAATGTAAAATATTTAGATTTTAATTGTTTTGACAGTTGCCGACACAATTGACATATGAGGCTAAAGAGCAAGATGTATTCTGCTTTAAGCATGTGAGTGAAAAAAAATAACTTTAGTGGCCCTCTATTGGCGGCTATTGCCAAGAGAAGTTGGGGTGGAGACTACTTGAGCCATGCCATTTTAAAATGCAATAATGTTCGCATATAACCTGTCTACTCATATATTAAATGTCATTGTATTCTGGCAAATGTGTTAAGTAAGGAATATTGAAATAAATAAAATTTATGCTCACCAACTAGTTGAATGATGTGATCCTTATATTCTATTGTTTTCTTCAATGCCTCTGCACTACTACAGGATTTTCTGAAATGTTGAGAAAATTAAGTTGAACGCAAACAATTAGTTTTACATACAAACTTTATTTACTATTTATTTATATAAATAATCAAATTCCTGCTATGCAATGTGGCATAAGTAACTGTTTGCATGTTTCAAATCTTGTTTATAATATGATTCATTTTACCTAACTTAAAATGTTTAGATATTTCTTTAAATATTATAATGAACATAATATGAAATTAAATGTCAACTTTAATAGATTTGTTATGTGAATACATAAAAAGACAGCTTAGATGACACACCATTGTTTGTCAAATTGAGGAATTGATAAATTAAACATATTATTATCCATCCAATGGAGTTGTTTTACACCCGCTGAATCTACTATTTCAGAGGCCTGCATGGTCTGCAAGCATGACCTGATTAGCACCTTTACCTGCTAATGCAGACGAATAAGAATGATGTAAGTTCCTTATAAATATTCCTACCTTTCACATTTCTCCTTTTGTTGGATTAATTGTCTTTTATAATCTTCATTTTCCATACTCAACTCTTCAAAATCCTTGATGATTTCTTAAACAATAAATATGTTTCAGAATTAATTCTGGGATAAATGAAAACATTAGGTCAAAATATGTACTTGTTGGGCCCTTGGGGCCAATCGCCTAACTGGATTGCTTTGGAAAACGCTATCGCTTACGATTTCATTTTGTTATTTCTAGCCGCCTGAGGTTTTCAAATGCCTCGCGCTCTTTTTTTTTCTTTTGCATTGGTAATAACAATGTTAAAGGAAATGAGCGTGAGGTATTTGAAAACCTTCGGCGGTTAGAAATGACAAAATGAAATCGTAAGCGATAGCGTTTTCCTAAGCAATCTGGTTAGGCGATTGGCCTGCTGGAGTGCACTCTTCATATTTGTGTTTTGGTCACAACACTATCCTAAAGTTTGACTACTGGGTCCAAAGGTACAGTTATACCGGAATATCTGCAGTTCACTACGTAATAAGTTGTGGATAGTGATTAATATTGAATACCTTTAAAATCTACAGCGCTTTTGTGCAGAGTGTTCTCAAACGCATTAAGTTTTTTATTAAAAGTGATTGATGTACAGGAAACACATACACCAGAACTACTCATTTTAAGTTTTGTTTAGATAGAAGTCTATTAACATTGTTCTATGGTATTCTACTTTTTTGTAAAGGCTGCCTGCGCCTGCCTTGAAAGTCTAGTCTAGACACTAGACAGTCAACAAAACTAGATATGCTCAAATATGCTGTCAAAATGACAAATCACAAACCTGGTATGACATGTAATGCCGGTAGTTCACTTGGTTATTGGTAAACTTGTCTGTCTTTTCGAAATCGATTTGCTGTCTATGCTTATTAACGACTTGCTTGACTTGACATGGACTTGTCTGACCAAGCCACTGAGCGAGATGGAATGGACTGAAAAGTACTTTTTCAAGTGGGCTTTGGACTTAGGGCTCCGAATCAGGTTCATTGGATGAACACAGTTCAGTGGGCCCGATTCTGGCATGATTCTCTAAGCCTAATAAAACTAAAATTGACAATAATCTAGATCCTTGTCATGCTCTATACTAAATGAGAAAGAGAGACTATTGATTGACTGTTGATCGCGACTTTTTCAAAGTAAAAGTTTATGAAGTTATAATAATGCGACTCAGTGCCACACAATGCCCAATGAGGGCTATCGCGTATGAATCCGCCGCTAAAGGCGCTAGTGTAGCGTGAGGTCTCCGAAATGTCAAATGTTATTGCTTGTTGGTTGACTAAGCGGGTTTATTTCTAATTAAAATAATGTTGTGAATAATTGGTAACAATTCGGCTTAATTATGGCAAATATGAGTTATGTGGCAATGAATGTCAGTTATTAAAAATTTGAGCTTAGAAAAATGATTATGTTCCCATTTTTTCCGAATAAAACGGAACTGCGCGTCACTTTGGCATGGCCTATTATGTTTAGGATATGGTTCTTTTGTGTTAAAATACGATCTAAATGTAACCTTTGATTTCATGTGCGTATTAATAAACTTTAAAAGTTACAATTTAGAACCTCACTCAACAGTGGCGTCATCTGGTGAGGCGGAAAGCGGTAGCCCTCATTATCAAAGAGTAAAGTAAGTATACCAACTCATTAAGCTGATGCTTAATTGGAACGTGAATTAGTATGCTTTCCAATTACAGAGCATAATGCGACTCAGTGCCGCACAATGCCGAATTATGCTGATGCTTAATTGGAACGTGAATTAGTTTTCAAATGCACCAGCAGAGTGCGCTAAGTTCAGTGTTGAAAAAAAAAGTCAATGTTTGTACCTTCATCCATACTTATATTATATTTTTAACAGTTTGAATGAACTTTGATTATTTAAAAAAAACTATTATATGAAACGAAAGCTTTAATAATTTTTCAACATTAAACAATATTACTAACGATAACATATAAATAAAACATTTCTATCATTGCCAACTTAAAGAAAAAACACTTTTTAATTTTCTGACTCTAAGTTGGTACGATTGCACGCATCACACGAAAGCATCACTTTTGAGAGTGCTCAATTGTGCGAAGCGTTGCTGTAGTTGGAACACTCAACGTTAAGCATTATGCCGCATAATGCGCTATAATGCTGTAATTGGAAAGCAACCTTAGTTTTCAAATGCACCAGCAGAGTGCGCTAAGTTCAGTGTTGAAAAAAAAAGTCAATGTTTGTACCTTCATCCATACTTATATTTATTTTTTAACAGTTTGAATGAACTTTGATTATTTAAAAAAAAAAACTATTTAATGAAATGAAAGCTTTAATAATTTTGACGTGACAACGTCTTAAATTAGGTTGCGGCTGGGAGTCACTTATGAAAAAGTGTAACGCTCGGTAACGTTACGATGAGTCTCTCGTGTTAAGTTTAAGTTTACATGTACAATGTTTTAGTAAACAAAATATATTTCTATAGTTAAAATTTGTGCAATTCTTATTTTCATTCAATTCCTTGTTCCTATTGTGCAATTTAATTATATTCATATCAATAAATATTCTACCGAGAAAAAGACGTTGTCACGTAAAATCTTCGCCCGTAAAACCGACTTTACAGGCAACCATTTTTTCAACAATAAATAATATTACTAACGATAACATATAAATAAAACATTTCGGTCAATGCCAACTCAAAGAAAAAAAACTTGTTAATTTTCTGTCTCTAAGTTGGTACGATTGCACGCATCACACGAAAGCATCACTTTTGAGAGTGCTCAATTGTGCGAAGCGTTGCTGTAGTTGGAACACTCAACGTTAAGCATTATGCCGCATAATGCGCTATAATGCTGTAATTCGAAAGCATCTTTTTTATATAAACAATTGAATTAATAAACCATTTCCCTCAAACACAAATATTTTACCCCCAATTTTCCCTCCATCGTTTTAAAAACCCCCAAATTTGGGGGGAATCTCCACAATCCGGCATCAATGTTGACTTAGCTTCCTAAGTGCCTAACAGCTGTTTCACTACCGGATCGTCAAGGCGTAAGGGAGTAAGAGAGATCGGGTCGCGCCGATCGCCTTAGATCGGGTCCCTTACTCCCTTACCCATATTACAACATTTGGAAGAAAAGAGGAATCAGTATCAAAACCAAGATCAGACTGATACGAGCCCTGGTATTCCCTATCTTCTTATATGGAGTTGAATCGTGGACAATTTTAGCCCGAGAAAGACAAAGGATTGATGCATTCGAGATGTGGTGCTGGAGGCGAATGCAGAATTTCTTGGACCGCGAAACGCACCAATGCATCGATTTTGAATTATTTATTTAGAAATACTCGTTTGTCCACTGTATGCCGACAACGCATCCTATCATACTTCGGCCACACAATGCGCAGGGATGACGGAAATTTGGAAAAATTGATTGTTGTTGGGAACACCGAAGGCAAACGGTCGCGCGGTCGTTCACCAACTAGAAGGACAGATCAAATAAAAGAAACGTCGTTGTCCAAATTTTATACGGTTGTGAGAGACGCGCTGGACAGAAACCGGTGGAGGCAGATCATCCATTACAGATGCAACTAGCATGCTTACCCCGATCCTCAGTCATGAGGGACCGACCAGAGAGACTCAATAGGCGAATTCCAAATAGCAAAAGCAATGGTCGATTCTGTCCCAACGGTATGGCATCTCCATTGGTATATGCTCTAAGTACATTATAAAATAAACATCTAACGACACTTTTAAATTGGGGGTATTTTTGGGGGGATTGTTGGGGAGAAGAAATTGGTTTTTTTTTCATTTCATTTTTTATATAAAAATAAAATCACTTCGTAAACTTTTAATGTGTAAAAAGTCGCGAGAAACAGTCAGCAAACAGGTCTCTTTTTCTCATTTAGTATAGAGCATGACAAGGATAGACTGTTGTCAAATTTTATTTTATTTGGCTTAGCCCAAGATCGAGGATTCTGCTGTTATCGGTGTTGATTGACACACGAATTCGCGTAGAATCACGAATTGCCTATCGACAAATTGAGTTTTTGTATATTGTCTTGTCCTTCCTTTTGTTCCTTCCTTCCGTTTGTGTGTTTTAAAGTAACACCAAACCATCTGAATCTATGCAAAAAACCTATATTAACCCAGAATTCAAAGAAGATTCTCCCCTAACCTATACAACAAATGACCAAGGCCCTTTTTGTCCAAATTTCACACAAAGGACCGGACTCTTCTTCTGGTTTCATAATCCGCACCCTTAAACTGACTCAGATACTGCACAAGTATAAAATAAAAGAAATAGTTAATGGCGGGATCCCACCTGTAGGCCGCAATAAAATTTCAGTAGAGTTCAATTCTGCAGATTCCGCTATTTCTTTCCTTGCAACGAATCCCCTTGAATCGAATTACAATTGTCAAATTTCTAAATACCTTTAACTGTAGTAACACAACAAAATCCCACCTCTTACCTGTTACTAGTATACTGTTTCAATACATATATTTATCTGTGGCTCCATATTAAATGCATGGGTGCCCGGTATCACAAATGCCTGTCTATGTGTTGTTACAGTTACTGGACGAGTCTGCAGTCGTCATACTGCACAACACTAGGGTTGCCAACCTCAAATTTAAAAAACCAGGATATGAAGTTGGAAAAACCAGGACAATAGGCTTGTGTCAACTAACAATAAATTGAATGGGTTACAGTTTCTAAATATGAATTATGATATACAGATAACAAAAAATACAGCTATTTATCATAATAATTAAAGATTATTATTATTTTTTGAAAATAAATTCGAATAAAATAGGCATTAGATCACGTGACGGCAAACACCAATCAGAAAGACTGACGTCACCACGTGCAAAACATTACTTGTGGTTGCCGTTTCCATACATTTCATTGATATCTCATTCATGTTATTGTTACTTTGATACAAATTATCAGTTTGTTTTCAGATAAGTATTGAAAGGAAGCCTAATAAATCCATGGAATTGGGATTTACCGAAGCAAATAATAATATTTTAACCAAAATAAATAACCAAAATTAATCGCATAACTACTCGACATAATTAAGCATATCATTTGGCAACTAGAACAAGAATAAGAAGTGTTTATTATTATGAATAAATATATTGAACTCTCAAATAGACTCTAAATCATACCATAAAATTAAATCAACTTACCTAACCTCAACCTATTGTCATTGTTTTATCAATATAATGCAATATAATTTATCCGGCTTGTATAACATTTTGATTTCATTGATTATGTTATGCAAAATACTTACATCAAAATGTTAATCACAAAATTATTCTTGTATTTGTTGATAAACAATGAATAGGTACCATCCCTCCTTGCAAGTTCTAAGTTCTAACCATTTTTTCCGCATTTGTGGCATATAAATAATTTGTCTGGCGTTTTATGCTTCTCCTTTTATACTAGGACACTATACAGTACTTGTAATACGATGGATTCATTTTTAACTAAATAATTTTAATAGTCGGCGTACAGCGTATTGTTTGCTTTGCACGGCGTGACGTCATTCTAGACGCCATGACAGTCTAGAGCGTTTTCGAGGGAAATTTGAACAAGTTTTTTAAAATACAAAATACATATTGCTAATGTACTTTTTTATTTAAAATAACATTTTTTTGGGGTTAAATAAATATCAAGGTATATTATTAACCACTTTTTAAAATATAGGCAACTAGCCTATTCCGTTTTTTAAACAGGACGCATTAATATCGAATTCATGCGGATTCAACCGCATGTCTTATGCGGAAATAACACTACCTAATTTTAAGGGACCCTCACTCTGACTATGTGTGGTGTATTGTGAGTTATAGAGTAAGGGAGCCGATCTAGGGCAATCGGCGCGGCGTGGTGTTACACACCCTTTCGATTGGGCCGTTAAAATTGGGTAAATCCCGTTTCAAGCAAGTCAGTCATTTGCTTTCTGATAATGTATTTAGTGTATTTGTGGTTTTTATACATGACACAAACAGTCAACATTGTTCAATCTCATATCAAAGTGTATACCTCCCGATTTTTTTAAATCGAACCTGGCAACACTGCACAGTGGTGCACGTGGTGCACTAAGCAAATCGTAGACAGACACCCATATTCTTAATCGCGTCCTCAAACGTTCCTCGACTCAAACTCATTCGAGGGCTCCTTAAGGAGTTCCTCCAAATAACCTCGAAAATGGTATTCTAGTTGGTATCTTGAACAAACTTGAGAATTCCTCCACTGAGAATTCTTCAACATTGTGACGTCATCATTTGGAGGATTTTATTTCTATAATGGTTAACAGAGGAAATATTACTTGTATGACTGTATCTTTTCTAAACCGAAATCTTCTTTGAAACGAATCATTGTCGTAAACCTTATTACGCATCACGTAAATACCGTCGCGCCGGAAAATTATATGGTTAATCATCGTGTATGTGTTACTGAATAAATAAATAAATAAATCGTATACGTAATACATAAAATCCACAAATTCGTCAATAATCTCAAAATCAGGAATAAAACTTGAAAACACCTTAAACACCACTCGAGGAAGCCTTAAGGTACGTCGAGAGCTACCTCGACCTCCACTCGAGTGAGGAATATCTCAAGTGAAGGATATTTTTGTTGTCTAAGCATACGAATTTCCTCCAATGAGGTTGAGTCGAGTGGAAAAAATCTCGAGGAAACGACTAAGAATATGGGTGAGAGAAGTGTTCGACACTTTTGTCTACGGGGCAAATACTCTCTATGGTAGTGTATGGAGCAGGGTCTATGGTCTGTACTGTAGAGTGGTCACAGATTAAAATAAATCATAATTTTCTTTTTCCTGCGTGCTTGGCTGCTTGCTGCTAAAGTGTTTCGTTGATTAAACAGGCTAATGTAAGATTTTTTCTTTAAACAAAGTACACTGTTAACTTAAATTCAAGGGCAACCACAGCGCAAAAGCAAAATTGTTAGTGTTATTGAAATATTTTCTTTATTATTTCTAATGAAATTATATTGTAGTGTTTTTATATTTGAAATGTAATTTGTCGTCTTCGTGATGGCGGTCTAAATATTTTACCTTTGCTCTTCAATCCGATCAGAATGTGAACCTTGACATTTCGCAAAAAACTGAAAATACATTGTAAACACAACGAATAAATCGTGGAAGGTGGAGATTTTATTATTAACCTGCGGTTATCTTTTTGTTCTGGTTTCAGGCTTGTCGATAGGAGCTATGGATGAAAATGACATGATCGTAGTTGTTATCGGTGATTCGGATACCGAGGCATCTGGAGATTTGCCGCCAACTCAAATTTCACTCAAAACCGAGCCAGTTGATGAAACTGATGTGATGCAAATGATTACCGCGGTCCAAAAACATGGAAAGCCCATAAAGCTAGAGTTTAACGATAATGACATGGTGTATGTAAAAGAGGAGTTTCTTGAAGAAGAATATAACAACTTTTCTGAAGAAGAGACAATCTTGGGCGTTTGTAATAACTATATTGATGAAATAGCTGATACAAAAATTGGGACTAAAGGTTTTGAAAGTGATGAAGATTATGTGCCTGAAGAAACTTCTGATGATGACGATGATAATGAATATTCCCTTGTTACCAAGGCATATGAAATCATTAAAGGTTCCAATGATCTTGCAAATAATTCTGAGAGTGAATCAGAATTAAAAATGCCTAAAAGGAGGAAGCAGGGTTCCTGGGCACATCAGAAGTCTTTTGTACAAAATTTGAAACAAGAGTATCCTGAAATGGAGAGTGACCAAAAAGGCATTCATCATGAATCAGTTTCTGATGATCTTGCAAATGATTCTGAGAGTAAATCAAAATTAAAAACACCTAGGAGGAGGAAACCGGTTTCCCGATCACGTCAGTCCATTCATAATAAATCATTGTATACTGATTCTCAGAGCGAATCAGAATCGGAAATGCCTAGGAGGAAACATGTTTCACCATCACGTCGGAAGTCTTTTGTAGAAGAGTTGAAACAAGAGTATCCTGAGTTACACAATGATGAAAAAGCCCTTGTTAGTGTACTCGCAGAAATAATGAGAAATGTTGAGAAGCCTCCATTGCCTAAGATTTATTATACTATGGTCCATGATAAATTTCAGTGAGTATGAACTTCTTATATATAGGTATCATCTGAATTTCTATTGACAAACAGTTTTGATGTTACACAGGTTTTTTAGAATTTTAGTTGGTTTTGTATCTCTGCAGTCAGCTTTATTTTACATATATACAAGTGCTGCACCCAGAGCTATTGTACTATTACTTGAAACTATTTGCAGTTGTCACAGATCACATTAGAATTTCATAAATCCCTGACAAAGATTATATTAGGGAAAGAAAACAAACCTTACAATGAAGAACACTTTTTTGCTGTCTCTTTAGCTATATAGAAAGTTATGCTAGATTCCCCTAAAAGGTCTGTGAATGCCACTTCAAGAAATCTAGAGTATGATTAAATTTGTGTTAATCAGCCTCGGACTTGGTGCTGAATCAGATCAGTCGTTAGTAGTACAGCGGGCTGTTTCGGATGTTGCTGCAGGCCTCTACTAGTGTCTGTGGATTTGCCAGTAGAGAAGTCCTTTGTTTTGCAACGCTTCTACACTCTAGCAGAACATGGGCGCTTGTCTCCTCCACCTCCAAGTAGGCTCTGCACTGAGGGCAGTCAGAAATACCTATATTACAAAGGCTGCCTTATTCAGGTCCTCAGCTGCCAATAGGGAATAGATACAATTGGCTCCAGGCCAATGGCAGTCCTACTGGACCCTTCCCTAGCACAGCATTTCGCGGCACTGTTGCCCCTTGAGCCACTGTGTCCTTTAATCCATTGAAGGGTCAGGCTGTCATTGTCGTTACAAATATTAGTCAACATACAGTGGCATTCATAATGTTGTCCAGTGCCTGTAGGACAGAAGTGTAGTCGGAGAGAATACAAATCTGTTTTCTATCTCTATGGCTCTAATGATTCCCACACACTGCCTGGAAGACCGTGTTAAAGGTTCCAATGTTGTTGAAATGTGTATATTTAGGTCCTCAGAGAAGGCACCGAACTTGTACCACAGTTTGTTTTTGATCCGTCTGTGTATGTATGTCTTAGGAATAACAGTACTGAATACAGTTATGATTATTTCTTAATATTCGTTTTCATTACTACTCTTTCTTCAAACATCAGACAATCTGCTTGACTACAGCTACCAGACTATTAGCAATTTACCAAAACAAAATAATTCTTTTGTGACCGCAACTGATAAGAAAGTGCACTTTCTCTGTCACTTAAAACAAGTCTCACTCTCTCGTATTGAAATGATCCCTTTCTTGTGCCACTATTATTCATTAAATTCCGGAAATCAGGCAGGCAGTTGACGATATACAATTGGCACCAATTCGTCTTATTGCTTTAATATTTAAAATAACGAATAAAATCACGAATAATTTATTTGTAGGAAAATTATTTACGAATAATTTATTCATGAATGAATTATTTGCGAGTAATTATATTGCAAATAAAAATTTATTCGAATAATGCCCAAATCTGGTTCTGACAAACAACTTCCTAACACTACTAATTTTTACATTATTATTTTTGGTACACACTTATAAAAAAAAAAAACTATAAATTGCAGTCTTACATAATGAAAACTTGAAGACAAAAAACATTATTTTTTCTTGTAGGTGTACAATATGCCAGGCGCTGACTGACACTGAGCCGGCTGCAGGTCGCCATTATCGGGAGTACCACGGCCCAAGATACCTTGTTTGTTACGCTTGTGGTGTAGATTTTAGAAGGTAGGTGAAAATAAAATTTTAATCAAATTTTTCCCAGTAACCTCTACCTAAATAAAACATTATTTCAACAGGTTTAAGATGCGTTTTTCAATACCTTTATACACATCGCTATGTTTCGGTTCCTTTGCAGGCTTCATTCTCAAGAGTATGATACTTTTTAGATCAGCCTGTAAAGGATCCGACACGTAGATATATGTATATGAAATAAAGAAAACTGAAACATACTATAATAATAATAACCTTTTATTCAGATATAATAACAACAATGTGCCCTTGTACATTTTTGAACAAAACTAAATCACAATCATGTACGAGTACATAATTTATGCTACTTACACATAAATGAAAATTTGTTAAACGTGAATAAATAATAGTTATTTATGATATTAGTGCGGTAAGTCTGTTATTACAAACATGTAGACGAATGTAAGCCTGAGACGAAGTGTCCTCCGTGGTCAAGTCTTTAGCCTGCGTAGGGCGTTACTCATATAAGCCCGAAAAGAAGATCGGGTTTTATATGCGTCTTGTTGTTTCTATACTTGTTGCATTTTCAGTAATACGAACCTGTTAAAACACGAGAAGCGTTGTGTAGCACCCGATGCCACTACGGTGCTCAAAGCTCGCGCGCTGTCGCTGGGCCGTAAGGGGCGCAGTAGACCCTTCATGCCGAAGCCGCAGGAAATTGTGTTGCGACCACCTATCCGTAGGAAGTAAGTTTGTAACTGCATCATTTCAATGCAATTTTTGGTGATTAAGGCTGTATTCCGAAATATGTATACACCAATACGCTGGCCAGCGGTAATGACGTCATGAACTGGCGCTATATTCAAGCAGTCTCGTGTTTGTGTGCAACGTTCATGCTCCAAAAATTATAATAAATTTTAACATACAATTTTAACTGTGATTATTTGAAAAGAATGGAAGTGCTAGCTATTATCTCGATATATATCTCGTTTTGTTGTTGAAACACAATTCGACTCATCTAGTGATAGTGACGATGATGATGAGATACTGCTCGCTTTTTATCAAAATGAAGGGGAAGAAATTATTATTATAATACAAAAAAGAACTTCACTAACTGCAGAACGTCCGTAGCTCTAACAATAAGATGGAGTTCAAAAAACTAGTGCGTGAACACTTCTTGACCTGGCTATGCAATCTCTTTTTTTTTGTTATTATTTATAGTTTGTATCTATTTATATATTATATTTATTGTATTTTATGTATGTATATATTTTTTTATGTATTTTATTTGTGTAGCTTATGTAGGTGTATCAAATTTAGTATAAAATATAATTTTATTTTAATCGCTGTTATTTTCTAAATGTTTTATTATATAGCATTTTGCCCTATCGCCATACCATTTGTCTCTGACACTCGTTCAGGTTGACTGGTAGAGAATGCCTACGGCATTAAGTCCGCCGTTTGCATATGTATGGCAATGAAGTTTAAATAAATAAAACGTATACACCCGTCTAATAAATAATTAAGTCACAGTATTCTTAACAGCATAATATGGCGGCACACCAATGCAATATGCCGTCGAAATCATGACGTCATTACCGCTATGGTGTATATTTCGAAATACACCCTAAGGCTGCGTCTTGTTATGTGACAATTCTGCCAATGTCCTGGTTAAAAGAGACAAGGTATTATAGGTAGACCGCTTAACTGAGTCCTTGCTTGCGGGGTAAAAGTGACGAAATACGAAAACGGGGACTGTGAGAGGTGAGGTTTCAGCTAAGCGGTTAACCTATAGTTATAATTTTTATTTTTTAAGCATGTAACTGTTCGATGTTTAAATATTAAGAAAATCATCAAGGCCGCGGTAGCATAATTGGTCAGTGCATTCGCCTGGATAGCGGAGGGTAAGGGTTCGAGTCCCGTCTGCTGCCTGGTCCGTGTGGAATTTTTTCTAGTAATATTTTCTTTTTGTTTACCTGTAGTTGGGACTGTACGGTTTTGTTGGAGTTCTAACATCCTCATTTCATCGTGAACATGATGTAAAAAAATAATTCAGTTATTTATTTTCTTTATCTTGTTTAATAATTGAATGATCCTTTCATTTACCTATGTTATTATTTTAAAGTCAATTTTACATTCATATTTTTTTATAGTTAGCTAGAAGTCTAGTTAAAATAAAAATGTGGAATATTTCTAATTCTTACAGGCCATCTTACATGAAAATTATCCATTTCATGAAGTCAATGGGTGTAATAAAATCCGAATATAATGTCTCAGTAAGTTCATTGATGCAAATCACAAAATAACGATTGCAGGCTTCCACTCCAACCCCTATCGGTAATCCGATATTCTGAAACCTAAATAAATGATAATAATAATAATAAGACAATACTTTCCTTTTTTAACACAGATTTTTTTTCTTCTCTTTTTCAGTTTCTTTAATACTTTTGCATAATTATTATCTCTTATCTATTAGACAAGTCCGTCCGTCCGTCTGTCTGTGGTGCTGTTTCAGCGGCCAAACCGTAAGAGATAGATAAAGAGAATATTTAAGTTATAAGTTAAGAATAGTCTGATAAGACTACAAACCGGATTTGAGTAACGTAGCACTTCCGGTTTTCGAGAAATCACGAATTTCAAACGAAACCACACAAAATCTACGAAGTTCTCAATTAATTAAATACATTTTTTTTTTAAATCAGGTTTTGGTGAACATTTGGTTCACTGGTTTGCTAGTTATTTTATAATGTGTTTCGTAACAGTGAACTTAGGAGGACATGGTATTCAGTGTTACACCTTTCAAAGTGGGATATAAAACCACTGTGTGTGATGTATATTCGAAGTTTGAATAGACAGAATAGAAAAAGAAATAGCAGCAATTACAACCACAGAACATACAAAGAGTTTAGAAGGGCCTATTGGGTATGCGTGCCACAGTTATGCTTAAAAATTAGCAAATGCTCATAACTTGACCAAAACTTGGTTCTGATTGCGTCGTTGCTCTCGGATGTGAGCGCTGGTTGGTTCGATTGTTTGAAGTCGCGTCGTTTGATTGGCTATTATCAATTAGCTGGAAGTGTAGTGGAGGCGAGCCGAAGACATCAGTTCCCGTAGGAACGGTCTATAATCACCATTCTAACCTCTCTGTGTTCTGTGAGTACAAAAATTAGTAGTAGTAATGCGCATGACGATTTCAATCTGTCTGTTGTTGTGTAACTACTTTCTTTGCCAGCACTTCATGGCTTTTCAAATTTGCTGTTTTTAATCCTGTCAATAGCCTCTCCTTTTCACCCCCTATAGAGTATGATAAGGACAATCTGCTGTCAAAATGAGAAATAGCAAATACGTATAGCCGTGTAGAGGAACTCGATGGCGCAGGTGGTTAGCGCGTTTGGCTGCGATCGTTGGAGTTAAGCAACTTTCGCAGTGGTCGGTCATTGGATGGGTGACCAAAAATCTTCTATCTCGAGCTACTCCGTGCTTCGGAAGGCACTTTGAGCCGTTGGTCCCGACTGCATCTGCAGTTGTTAGCACCCGCCAATCCACATTGGGCCCGCGTGGTGGGTCATGGCCCAATCTCCCTATTCCATCCATAGGGAAGGCCTGTGCCCCAGTAGTGGGCCAATTAATAGGCTGATGATGATGATGATAGCCGTGTAAACTGCTTGCATTAAGGTGGAAGTTTTGTTAACAGAACTACTGTAACACATAAATTCAAATGCAACGAGTGCCCAGCGGCTTTCTCAAACGGAGTAAGCTTGGAAGCGCACCTGAATCTGCACAAAGGTCTCCGGCCTTACCGTTGCGAGGTGTGCAACAATGCATACACTTCGGTTCACAGGCTTAAGGTAAGTAAATTATTATATTTTTTAATAAAATTAATAACAATCCTAAAAAATTCAAAATTAAAAATAATAAAAAAATATCCAATTATCTATTTTTGGTCCATCCACACATCTACTTAATTTACCATTAAATTGAATTAGAACTTTTATTGGATTTATATTTGTTTATTCGAACCAATATTAAACAACGTAATCATCATATGGGGTATTATGAGTGTGACATTGTTGAGATCGTATTCGTATCGTTAACGTCAAAGTTTTTACGGAAATAACTACCGGACGTAAAAATAAACTAGCTTTTTCCATAGAGAATTTGTCATGACGATACGAATACTTTCTCGCTAGTTGTTTGTGATTGGGGTACAGAAAGCTAATCATTTCCTTGATTCAATTTATTTCTTCAGTTTATGTGGCACATAAAAATAAATAGGGGAAACCACCCAATCATTGGCACTCTTCTCATTATTGGCACTTTTGAGTTCGAGTAGTTCGAAAATAACAAGAAAACTATAGATTATTCAAACTCGGTACATATTAAAAAGAAAAACCTAGTAACTTCTTTTCGGATGGGGTGTGTAAATCGAAAAATCCTATGGAAAAGATGAAACGGAAATGCGTTACGAGCGTCACACGACTATATATATAGGTACTAGCTGTCCCAGCGAACTTCGTACCGCCATAAAATAATAGGGGTGAAAATTAAGGGTTGTATGTATTTTTGTATGATGTATCATAAAAAAATAAAAAAAAATGTCCAAAAAAAAATTTATGGTTGGACCCTTAACATTTAGAGGGATGAAAAATAGATGTTGTCCGATTGTCAGACCTAATGAATATGCATATAAAATTTCACGAAAATCGGTCGAGCCGTTTCGGAGTAGTTCAATTAAGCACACCGTGGCACGAGAATTATCTAATATATAAAATTCTCGTGTCGCGGTGTTTGTGATTAAACTACTCCGAAACGGCTTTCCCGATTCTCATGAAATAAGTGTGCATATTGGGTAGGTCTGAGAATCGGACAACATCTATTTTTCATCTTCCTAAATGTTAAGGGTAATCCACCCCTAATTTTTCACTCTTCTACCACCAACCCCTATTTTTTATGGTGGTACGAAGTTCGCTGGGTATATATGTATATGTATATATATAGGTTATAGGTATAGGTTATTTAATAAAATAAGTTTCACTTCAGATGTGTGGTTCATGCACACATTTTTTTTATTCTTTCGCAACTTTAAATATAAATAAAGTTTCATTAGGCAGCCGAAAGAGATGCGGACGTCATATTTCCCAAAAACCGTTGTTGCGGTATATTTGCAGTTATAAATTTTTCATTGCGTTTTGTTATCGAAATCACACTAATATTATAAAGGCGTAAGTTTGTGAGTATGTCAGTTTGTATGTTTGTTACTTCTTCACGTCTAAAAGGCTGGAGCGATTTTAATAAAATTTAGTATGGAGTTAACTGACACCCTGGATTAACACATAGGCTACCTTTTACTGCGCGAAAATAGCCCTAATAAACCGCGGGTAACACCGTGGGGCACAGCTAGTAAATAAATAAATATACAAAACACCATAATATATTTATTTAAACTTTATTGCAAAATTACAAAGCAAATGGCGGATATAATGCCATAAAGCATTCTCTACCAGTCGACCAGTAAGAGCGTGAGAAAAAAACTAATATGACGGGGGCACAATAAAGACAAATTTAAGATAAACCTATGATACAAATAGTCTTAACAGAATACATACATATTATACACATATATATACATACATATACACACATACATATATACAATACATACATAAGTATATATGTCTACATTTTTTGTAGTGTAACTAGTGTTTTTGGGAAATAACTTTGTTGATATAAAGATTTTTTTCTAAAGCTCTACAATACAAATATTCTTCTCTCTAGTTAAGTTGTAGGTACAGATCCGTTACAGTTGGTTTATTTGTCTTTTGTTTTTTTTATTTAGCGTCACCAGAAGATACATTCGGAAGAATCGTACGTATGTGACCACTGCGGTCGCATATTCAAGGTGAAGGCAGCCCTTCGTGTGCACTTGGACACACATCTGCGTAAGTTTTTATTTTAATACTTTTAAAGAGGAGCTCCATGGCGGAAGTGGTTAGCGCGTGTGGCTGCGATCGTTGAAGTTAAGCAACTTTCGCAGTGGTCGGTCATTGGATGGGTGACCAAAAAAGTACTATCTCGAGCTCCTCTGTGCTTTAGAAGGCATGTTAAGTCGTTGGTCCCGGCCGGCATTGTGGCATTTTAGACAGGAAATCATTTCAATTATTGTTATTATCATCACTATAGATTAACATGATCGAATATAATTTATGATATTTCATTAAAATTATTTGTTTGTTTACATAATCTTACGTAACGATAGCTAGCTATTTTGACATTCAAATTCTGCCGTAACTGTACCGCTAGTTGGTGCTATCATCGCGCACCCAACGGAATTGTACGCTCAAACGTTTTGCATTACTTCTATTCTATTATTATTGTTCTTCTTTTGAGGTACAAATATATTTATTTATTTATTTTTGAAGGACCAACAGCTATTAATAAGAAGAGTAAAAACTTAAATAATAACAGAAAGCCAATTACAGGTCTTCGCCAATAATATTCCAGCCATAACAACAAGATTAACCACACTTTTAACATAAAAAATACAAAACATTGATAGTAGTGAACTGTGCCTGTTAGTCAGAAAAATGCACTGCTCAATACCCGTCTCAGTGTTACATCATTATATAAATTTTGGAGATTAAAGAATTTTGCTATTAAACGCTTTGATTGTTTGCGTTTCTAGCGGTGCCTAAGTTCGGTTGCGAGGAATGCCCGCGGCGGTACGCCACCAAGGCGGCGCTCAAGCACCACGTGCGGCGCGTGCACCTGCAGCTGCCCCCGCCCTGCGCCTGCCCCATCTGCCCCAAGAGGTGAGTGCGGACTGTGACAGGCAGGTTGCCATGACAACACCAAGGCGGCGCTCAAGCACCACGTGCGGCGCGTGCACCTGCAGCTGCCCCCGCCCTGCGCCTGCCCCATCTGCCCCAAGAGGTGAGTGCGGACTGTGACAGGCAGGTTGCCATGACAACACCAAGGCGGCGCTCAAGCACCACGTGCGGCGCGTGCACCTGCAGCTGCCCCCGCCCTGCGCCTGCCCCATCTGCCCCAAGAGGTGAGTGCGGACTGTGACAGGCAGGTTGCCATGACAACACCAAGGCGGCGCTCAAGCACCACGTGCGGCGCGTGCACCTGCAGCTGCCCCCGCCCTGCGCCTGCCCCATCTGCCCCAAGAGGTGAGTGCGGACTGTGACAGGCAGGTTGCCATGACAACACCAAGGCGGCGCTCAAGCACCACGTGCGGCGCGTGCACCTGCAGCTGCCCCCGCCCTGCGCCTGCCCCATCTGCCCCAAGAGGTGAGTGCGGACTGTGACAGGCAGGTTGCCATGACAACACCAAGGCGGCGCTCAAGCACCACGTGCGGCGCGTGCACCTGCAGCTGCCCCCGCCCTGCGCCTGCCCCATCTGCCCCAAGAGGTGAGTGCGGACTGTGACAGGCAGGTTGCCATGACAACACCAAGGCGGCGCTCAAGCACCACGTGCGGCGCGTGCACCTGCAGCTGCCCCCGCCCTGCGCCTGCCCCATCTGCCCCAAGAGGTGAGTGCGGACTGTGACAGGCAGGTTGCCATGACAACACCAAGGCGGCGCTCAAGCACCACGTGCGGCGCGTGCACCTGCAGCTGCCCCCGCCCTGCGCCTGCCCCATCTGCCCCAAGAGGTGAGTGCGGACTGTGACAGGCAGGTTGCCATGACAACACCAAGGCGGCGCTCAAGCACCACGTGCGGCGCGTGCACCTGCAGCTGCCCCCGCCCTGCGCCTGCCCCATCTGCCCCAAGAGGTGAGTGCGGACTGTGACAGGCAGGTTGCCATGACAACACCAAGGCGGCGCTCAAGCACCACGTGCGGCGCGTGCACCTGCAGCTGCCCCCGCCCTGCGCCTGCCCCATCTGCCCCAAGAGGTGAGTGCGGACTGTGACAGGCAGGTTGCCATGACAACACCAAGGCGGCGCTCAAGCACCACGTGCGGCGCGTGCACCTGCAGCTGCCCCCGCCCTGCGCCTGCCCCATCTGCCCCAAGAGGTGAGTGCGGACTGTGACAGGCAGGTTGCCATGACAACACCAAGGCGGCGCTCAAGCACCACGTGCGGCGCGTGCACCTGCAGCTGCCCCCGCCCTGCGCCTGCCCCATCTGCCCCAAGAGGTGAGTGCGGACTGTGACAGGCAGGTTGCCATGACAACACCAAGGCGGCGCTCAAGCACCACGTGCGGCGCGTGCACCTGCAGCTGCCCCCGCCCTGCGCCTGCCCCATCTGCCCCAAGAGGTGAGTGCGGACTGTGACAGGCAGGTTGCCATGACAACACCAAGGCGGCGCTCAAGCACCACGTGCGGCGCGTGCACCTGCAGCTGCCCCCGCCCTGCGCCTGCCCCATCTGCCCCAAGAGGTGAGTGCGGACTGTGACAGGCAGGTTGCCATGACAACACCAAGGCGGCGCTCAAGCACCACGTGCGGCGCGTGCACCTGCAGCTGCCCCCGCCCTGCGCCTGCCCCATCTGCCCCAAGAGGTGAGTGCGGACTGTGACAGGCAGGTTGCCATCACAACACCAACCACCACTTATAATAGCTCCAAATAAAATATGCTCCGACTTAACTACATAAGCAACTCTCACGCACGCACACTTCTGTAAATAAACATATAATCGAGCCAGCGAGATAAAACTTGAACAGCAGCGCCACAAAGTACGTAACGAGAACTAAAAATCAGTACACATTTGACATTGACATTTCGGACTCGCAAACTATTCGAATTCGATAATGGTTCGTGCTAGGGGACTGTACGCTTCAACGCTCCGCGAGCGAAACTGCGAGACCGCGTCGCTTAGCTGAGCTGTATTGTTGTCCTTTTTTTGATAACAAATGGCGAAAATGTAAATTACATTCAAGACAAACAGTGATTTTTGAGAAACAAAAAAATGATTTCATAGTTTTACGAATGAACAATGTTGCCATGAAATTTGCTATTTGATCTTGAACTATTTGTGTTCTTTATAAATGCATCGAAGGCATTCCTTTATCTTTGTAACACAGAATATACGCAATATTGTTATATTGAGTGCACATGCAGCGTGTTTGAATGTGCAATTGTGACTTAAGCAAATTGTGGTCATACACCACAATTTAAGCGGATCACTTTTGAGCCGCGAGTGCCGTATTTTTTTAGTTATTAGGTATTTGCCTTTTTGTTTTAATCTTAAGTATGCAACTGTTTATTATTAGGTATAAAAACACTCGTGTGATACCCACATTCGTGTTTTCATACCCCTCAAGCCCCAACATTATACAACAGTTAAATAACTATTAAACTAGCCCAAATTAGATTGAATTAAGTACTGTAATATTTTTTTTATACTTATCTGACACTAGCTGTGCGCCGCGGTATTTCCCGCGGTTTCTTAGGTATATTCCCGCAGTAAAACGTAGCCTATGTGTTAATTTCAATTTAATTTCAAATCCAGGGTGTCAGCTAACTCCATACCAAATTTTATTAAAATCGCTCCAGCCGTTTAGACGTGCAGAAGTAACAAACATACGCACTCACAAACTTTCCCCTTTATAATATTATAGTGTGATCGTCTTGTTTCAGTTATCCTCGTATGTCGTTAGTAAAGGACCATATGAAACAGGCCCATGGAATGTCCTTGATGACACGCAGAGTGAGTATAAATCTATACACATTAATTTGACGACCTCCGTGGTCGAGTGGTTTGTAAGTCGGGTTTCATGGTGTCGCCGACTCGAGAGGTCCGGGTTCGAATCCCGGTGGGGGCAGATGTTTGTATGATGAATACGAGCATTTGTACTCCAGTAATGGATGGTTCATATGTATTTCTAAATAAATTTACTTATATATGTACAGTATATTTATTCTATCCGTATATTGTTAAGTATATAATGGTGTCGATTCTGGTATGATTATCTAAACTTAAAACTAAATTTAAGATCAGTCTCTCTTGTTTGTTCTCTACTGAGAATGACAAGGATACATTGTTGTCAAATAAAATAAAAAAAAATATGCCCGACTTAATAAGATTTAAGATTAAATTATATGTATAAGTAAACTTTAATTTCTATTTTTTAATATCGCTTTGGTTTATTATTATATCTCTTACGATGCCAAATAATAGGGGTGATGACGGGGTACAGTAAACGAAATTCTATTTAGTGCGTCAGTTAGATGATCAAAAAATAATGGACACGTATTTTTTCTTTGGGCAATCAACCAAAAATTGACAAAGTAATAGCGCGCGTAAGTTTGGGAGTAGGGGCTCGTGACGTCACTTTTTAGTGAATTTTCACTTAAAAGTGTACTCAAACGTGACGTCATGCGATTTTTAAATCAATATATCTCTGCAATGTTTATATTATGTGAAAAAAGAAAAAATACGTGTCCAATCCTTTTTGATAATCTACCTGATAAACGAAGAAAAAAAAAATAGTCACCATCCCTATTAGAGAATAAGCAGTAATTTTATAGTAAACTCCAAGTACCAAGTTCCTTTTTTCAAATTCTTTACTTTAATTGACAGATGTTCCTCAAAGCGTTGCCCAAAATGACGGATGAGCAGTTGCAACAAGCGAAGGAAATTCTGAAATCGAATGTGTTTTTCCTCAATGAGGGTGCTGATAATACAAACCAAAATGAAGCTGCTGAAAATACAAACCAGAATGAAGCTGCTGAAAATACAAACCAGTATGAATGAGCCTGCTGAAAATACGATTGTACAACATCTATGGAAAATTGAATAAGATTTGTTTGTAAATACATAGAAGTGATTTGTAAAATACTGAGTTGATCTTCTTAAAGTATGATATTATTTAGAAATATAGATGAATATAATTTAAAGGCAGAGCCTAATGAGATACTTTTTGCTTTTAAAAGGGATCCCTTTGATTCGCATATTTTTTAATTAATATAAACTTTGGCATAATAATAATTTTGATGTTCTTTTCTCACACTGTTTTTATTAAATCAGGTAACTTTTTATGGTGGAAACTGCTCCTTTATTTTAATGCAGAAAAAGTTTTATTAAGATGATCTAAAGTATGTTGTCATGAATTATCCACAAGTTTTATGATAATGAATAGTGAATCCATTGAATATTGCCAAAGAAGTTGTGAATATACACCAATTCTCTTGTGTTTTCGATATACCGCCTTATAACAAAACGTAGACTGAAGTTAAACCTGTACAGAAACTGGTACTGTCACTTTTATTTGCTAAACAGAAGATAGAGACAACGTTAGGTTTAAAACAAAGGCTATTTTTAGTCCGCGCTTTGAAATAAGGCCTTTAAGGTTCATTTTATCAATCTTAACATTGTAACTTTTCCTTCACAAACGTTATATTTATAGCATTAGACAAACTGAAATTTTATAGTTAAGCAAAACCTATTCCAATAAATTTTAATGGTTTTTTTTTGCCAAACATTACAAAGACTTTTTATTTCAGAGACATTAAATACTCTGCCAACCCACAGGAACGTCTATCAATTCATGCTGTTTCATAGAATAGATTTGAATGCTAAGTAAGATCTTATTATGTATTTATTATTACAGCTGAAGTGTAAAAAATATATATTTTCGTCTTAAAACATAACGTGTCAGCATCTGCAGTCGCTAGCACCCACCAATCCGCACTGGGCCCGCGTGGTGGGTCATGGCCCAATCTCCTCATTCCATCAAAAGGAAAGGCATAGGCTAATGATGATGCTGTATGTATTTTCACCATGAAGCTGTTTGCACTGCTAACTGCGTAGAGTTAGCTTACATGTAAAAAATGTATAATGATATATTATTTAACGTTGCAAAATGAAATACAAGATTTGATACGAAAAAGTGTTTTATTACGCACTTATTATTCCAACCAAATGTTTACGAAATATTCATCTATAGCATAATGCATACACAATCATTAGAAGACACCACAAAATTTATAATGCTTCGTTACATACTAGGAAAATACAAAAATATTAAGCGGTTCCTTGGTAAATACCTACCAGAATCTTTTTTTTATATAATGCGAAATGTACGCGTTTAGTACACACGAAATGCAGCGTTAAACACATTATATGTATGTATATACGCTGACTTGGTCATAGTTAACACTCCGAGACCTTTTAGTCAAATATCTCTAAAAGGCTTCACACCAATCAGATAATACAGTAAATTCATTGCAGGGAACTCTAGTAACCAATAATTACAACTATACAGCGTTAAATTATCTTAGAATTACCATAAATTTAGAGAAAAAGTTATTTTATTTATATTCAACAAAGTTTCGTTTTTGATTGATACACTAATGAAATTCTAAGATTTTTAATGCTATTCAAACTATGATGGGACATAAAGACGAGGAAAAACAAATCTTATATCATTACTAGTAAGGCATTAAATAGCCCGGTTCCTATGTTTAACAGATACGTACTAGGTAATACATATTTTTTAATTAGACCTTAACAAGCTTAGTTTGTGCGTAGCCAGAACATTTTTACCGTTTTTATTAACAAATGGAATGTCATGTGAACGTGGTAAGCCTTTTAGAAATATCCTAGGCGAGTTGTGATTTTGAAGTGTATGGGTGTGGTTGCCTTTCGGATTGTTGGTTTCGCTCTTGCAAGCTATTTGGATTATAAGCTGGCACCACTTGTTATTTTAATTCTCTTAACCTCAACGGCCGTGTACAGAGACTTTAATTAAATTTATTGTTAGTGTCGCGAAGAAAGTTACATCGTCAACTTTGATCGAACTTGCAAAATCGTCGTCTCTGAACTAAGAAGTTTTTTTGTAACTTAATGGAATTAATGGATTTATGTGTCTTGATAAATGATTATAAAGTTGTTGCTCTCCGAAATTAAGAAAGTGATATTAATATAAAATTCATTTAAATATCCACAGAAAATTGATCCACAACGACAATCAGTTGATGGAAATTAATTCTTCCTTTCATTGATTTCAAATCTACATTATATATTAAATCTATATATTTATTATCGTATTGTCAAATATGCTGAAAAATATAGATTTGTATCCTGTGAATTAAGTAAATTGGTATTTTAATAGGAATTGGTGTTTCCGGGAGCCACGAGTGTTGTAAGTAGGGGCACCAACATTCCGAAAGGCGAGGTGCACGGTCACAGAGCTAGGGAAGCGTTTATATCTCTAATTTCGACACGAACACATCTTACAACATTCACAAATAAACTAAGAACAATCTTATCATCACTCCACAAATACTGATCATATTTTTTTATCTTAACAATGGTCCAAAAATATCTAATAGCATCCCTAAACGATCAAGTAGAAAAATACTTTTAATAATTATGCCTCACAGAAATCTAGCTTTTTTTTTAATTTTATTTCTCACTTTTAATAATAGAGTTTCGTTTTAATTATTTCCTTAGTTATCGAACGGCGTCAAAGATCAAGATGAAATTATTGTAGGTCTAAGAGTGTTAAATCTAAACTACTGTGACAATCTCGATAATATTCGATATAACGCTGCATAATGTTCATCATGAAAATATTTTAATTACCGTATTACTTAATGTAATCGATTGTATCTTTAGAATTCATTGTTGTCAAACAACATGACACCTTGCTGGACTTATATTAGAGATCTAAAAATAGTGTTTTATCCTATTATGGGGTTGTATAGCTGCCGAAGTTATTATTTTCATGGAACATTGTGCACCTGAAATATTATTAACGTGTTATGTTAACCCTATGACAAACAGTTAATACGATTACATAAAACAGTTAAGTGAACTTGCAACGATTTTAAATAACTCACTACTTGATATTTTAAAACGAAACGCGACGAATCTGCTACGCTATAGTCACTCTTTTAATTTTTCTAAATTTTGATGTAATTCAGGTGAGTTTTAAAAATAGAGTAGGTATCTAGACTAGAGTATGAGTTTCCAAAGTATTCCATCGAAATTAGAAAATCAGGATAGACCTTTTCCTATCATAGATTTGACAGCAGCGCCTCTAGCGGAAACTACAGCGCTGCTGTCAAATCGAAGCTTTTCGAAAACTATCAAAACTTTACAACAAGGCCTCATTGTAGGTGGATACAGTTCGACATTGACAGCACCCTTATTACGTAGCAGTAAATGTGATATTCGTGGCGCAAGCATATCCACTGCGTAGCCTAGACTGCACTTAATACAGGCAGCCACAAACATACCAAGATACCCCTAAATTTACTCATTTTTTTAAACTATACTGCTGGATCACGATTCATAAATTATTTATAAAATATGAAATTTTATGGTAACTTGATGTGTTGGTGTCTGTACATTGAATAGGTACGTTTCGTAATTCATACTGTCACTCTCTTGAAAAATGTACGATCGATTTGTTTTTATAAATTTACAATCGACTGGAAATAAGTGTAGTCTATGGCCCGGTTTGGGTACCCCAAAAAACAGTAAAAGAAAAGTAAAATTACTTTTTCACAAATATGTGCCTATTGATTTCATTAAATTTGACTACTATTTTATATGAGTTAAAAATTCATCTTTATTTTTCAGTTCCTTTTTGCTACCTACTACTTTTTGGAGTACCCCTCCGTACTCGCAACTATTATAATTAAAATCGCACTTCGCTGGTATATTGGATTTAAAAACAATATTAACATATTAAAAACTTCTAAAATGTTTTGGTGTTAGGTTGTATCACGGTACAAATGTGGACTTACTGTTGAGTTGATAAATAAAAATAATGATTTCTTAGTGCCAATAAAAAATATATAATTCATTCATATTAAAACGGTAATTGATTTAGGGTAATAATCGCTTGAGATCAATTGGAGATAACTGTAGATATTGAGTCCAAACGATTAACGCCCAAAATTTCTACTGTAGGTACATAATATTTGACAAATTAATAAACCATTTTAATAGTTTCCTATATATTGTTATATAAAAAATAAGTAACGCGTGAACATCACACTGATGTCGGAACTTCACTTGACTATTCGTGTTTGCTATTTGCAATATTGACATAAGTCTGTGCTATTATTCATCACACTAATATTATAAAGGCGAAAGTTTGTGAGTATGTATGCTTGTAACTTCTTCACGTCTAAACGCCTGGAGCGATTTTGATAAAATTTGGTATGGAGTTAGCTCACACCCTGGATTAACACATTGGCTACGTTTTACTGCGGGAAAGTATCCCTAATACACCGCGGGGCACAGCTAGTTCCTTATAAAGCATGATAAGAACAGACTGCTGCCAAGTTTACAAATATGAATAGTCAAGTAAAATGACAGCATTGGTTAGGTTAGGTTATATCACGTGCATTTCCATGGTCCGAGGATACTGTACATTAAATAATGTTCATGTCTTAGTACAAAAAAGTTTTTTACGGTTTTTTTCATTATATTTATGTCAGTCAAAAAGAACACCTGCAACTTTTCTGTCTACCTCTAAACGTTATTATTGTAGTCTTTTACTTTCGATAATAAAGTAAGATGATACTTATACATGAATTTTATAAATATTTCGTAGGTACTAGAAAATACACGTGATATACGGAGGGGGTAATCTTTAACCTCACCATGTGTCACCAAGGGGGATCACGGGGGGGTTAAAAATGCCAAAATCAATCATCCAGTAATTAATGGACGGCCCCATAGCAAACGACGAAAGGCAATAAGTTAGTGGTGCCATTACTTATTTTTTATTTTTCTCGTCAGAAATATGCTATAGATGGCCCTCGAAGATGACTCGCAGATTTCTCGACAGTTTAAAATGTAAGTACCCACATTAAGATCTTATGAGTTCGTGACGGTGACAAACATGTACAACCAACGCCTGGTCTTCAATGGATTCAATTCGACATTGATAGCGCCTTTATTGCTAATAGCAATAAGAGCTATATTCGTGGTGCGAATAGGTATTTAGACTGTCTGATAGTGATAATGGAGGATAGTTCCATGCAATTGATTGGTAATGCTTGCTTAAGAAACTATATACCTACTTAAGAGATATATCAAGAAGCAAATTAAAGGTCGGAGTAATAGCGAGCAATATGAACCTTGGTACAGTTTACGAAGTGGAATTCCATTTTTGGCTGGTTTTCCAAAATGCGTTCTCGCTGCATTGATATGAGCTGTTTGTCAAAGTAATTAGGCTGTTATTTAAATTGTCCTGCTGCCTTCCCGATCAACAGTAAAAAATAATGATTGAACATACATGGTGATTGAAAATGTCAAACAAATCAATGACATCATCTTCCCGGTGTGATCACAACAAATTCCAAAAACGTCAACGTCTTAACACTAAACGATTGGTACATACTAGTGTGTAGCAATTTAAAATTTCAGTTATTGTAAAAATAATGTTATATATATATTTTTATATTTAACATCGAACGCGCGTCGTTTAGTTTGAATTTGTATTCATTAACATTAAGTTTATGTATATTACAAACGTATGTATATTACTAATGGCAGTTATAACGCTCTTGATACAATGGTGTATGCGACGGCAGAAGTTGTTGCGTACAGAATAATAGTGTACAGTCAAAGAAGTTTGCGATCTGCACCTTTTCAACTAGGTAGGTAGTTTGGTTTTTACACTTATTATTAGAATAGCCATGAAACAAAAGACAACTGGCAGTGGAGTCATGTCAGAATGCTTATTCTTTATAGATAGGTCCGACAAATGACTCCACCGCACCTGATGTTAAGTGACGGTGAAGTCCAGACGTGGAGATAACTGGTACAGCAGTTCTACCTGCCACATCAGCCATCTACACCTAGCCGGCTTGCATGTTGCTTCTTTTAAATGCCTCTTTTAAAGGACCCCTTGAATTTACACTCAGTCTAAAAGACCAATTTAATCTATAACAACCGACAGTAACTACGCCTAGAGGCTTAAAAGTGGCAGATTACAAATATCTCCGACTGTACTCACATACTTCAATAACTAGTACACGTGTATGGACGTGCCAAAACAAGCCAGTGCGACTCCCGGCAGGCTATTTTTATTACGTCATTCTGTCAAAAAGAATAACGTATATTCTCTAGCAAAAGCAACCTTACCGGGAGCGCATATCCATTCTATAGTTCCGAAGTATAATAAATAGTACTACGACTCGAAGCTCATGCGGTTACTTAACAATAATCCACGAATACGATTACAAATTGAAGCACAGTCAACAAGTCACGCATCCCACCAATCGATATCAACCTTTATGTCGGATAACTAAAGTTGAAAATGCGATTGGAGGTATTTGTACGTTCATGATAACACAAATGTGTCGACTGCACCGCACGTGTTAAATGATACAGATATAAATGACACTAATTCAGTAGTAGATAGGGTACACATTTTAATGGAAACAATAAATGAATAATAAAACTGCTGAACTTTTCTTCTTAACTTTTTCTCTCTCTTTCTCTACGAACTTATCTACTCGCATAATTAAATTTTAACTAAACATTTTTTTTTCAATTAGTAAACTGTACCTCCTTCTACGAGACAAAAAGTCAGACGAGCAAACAATCGAAACAAAAGATTAAAACTAAAAATAAATTCACTAAATCAGGCGCAAAGTTAAATGATCCCTCCAGTGCATTCGGAAACTCGTCGACTAGTTACCTCACAAAACTAAAATAAAAAAAAATATTATATAAAAAAAAACACAAGCAAATTGTACAGCTGAAATTATTAGGAACATACATCTGACCAATAACATCATCTGAGCAAAATCTCGAAATGATCGTTCAAGAAATCCAAAAGTTCTATACTAACATACTTATCACAGGTTAAAGGGGACAAGAGAAAATATTAGTGTTCTCTTAATACAGTACGATGCATAGTTTTAATATAATTGTAAAAACTAAGACAACTTACACGATGTACCATTACTTTTGTCCGTCGTAGTCGCGGCGGAAATCATATTTTTACCCAAAATTATATAGTAATCAATTAATTCTAAACCCATTGCCTCTTACGGAGGCGGGTGAGATCGACTTATGTATAACATTAAGGTTACGTTGACTGGCGGTGCTAAGCTAAGCCGACTACGCGATGTCGCCTCGCCTTAAGATATGTATGGGCGTATCCAGGCATTGGGCCTAGCAGATAGGGCAAATGTAACAAAACTCAACGTGTTGTAAGAAAAAAACTATTTTGTTAATTGATTTGTTGGCAGAAATTTAATAAGCGGCCTTTAGTAACCCAAAATAAATCATGGAATTAGTTCAAAATTTGAGCACATTCGAACGGTATATCACTTACATCAAAACCACTACTAAATATCTCGTGTCGTCAAACTTCTCAACGACAAAAATCTGTTAAATTTCGTTTTCAAAATCACTTTTAGTTAACCATCCCATTTCTCTTTTTACCCGCTTACATATTAAATATATATAAATTTTTAGCCTCCAAGTTCTTAATGTGTCAAACTTTCCAAAATCATATAGTTTTAGTACAGGCACTTGCCCCACCCTGCCCCACCGAGGGTACGCCCATGTATGTGTCAAAGACCCAACTTTCATTTTCCACACGCGTATTTATTCCCCTTCCCAATGGACGAATCTGACGTAAATCATTATCATACAGAATGAACTAAGCGACTGTCGCATGAAATAGACAACTCTCTAGAAAGAGAGAAAAGACATTCAATACATCGCTTCGTCTCTTTGAAAATTTATCTGCCCAGTTATATATTATAGTTGGTAAAGGAACGTTTAGTCCATTCTCTATGTGTATGGATAATATTGTAGCAGCCCGAATCGGTCGACGCCGATCTCCCATTAATAATTCATATTACGATAAAAATAGTCACATTTAATAATCGGCGCTGACCGATTCGCGCGCCCAAAGTCGCCTTGACACGATCAAAAAACAATACGATGCAAGTTTATTGACTGTAGTGAAGCTAGTGCAAGTAAGCGCGTGCGCATGTTTCGCTCTTTGCTAACTTTACAACCACCATAAAGATTGAATAGTACTGTACGCGACTGCAATTTCTGTTGGGGCGATATTAATTGTATACACTCGGATCGCCTTTTACTGTAACGAGTTGTAGAACAGGAATAGTGAGAAAATTATGTTAATTAAACATTGCATACTCGTAAAGAATCTACGTATTCTAATCGTGTCAACGCGGCTCAACATAATTCACGGCATTTCGTCATTTATGATCGGAACATGACCCTACTCTCAAAGACTAATTTATCGATATATCGTGATCGTCATCGTCGTCCATATTGATCTAAATTACATAGTTTAGTAGTTAGGACATGATACCATGAATTTTACGATACTCCGGGTTAATTCTAAGAGTACGTCCTCTGTCTTCCGGTGATCAATCTAGACATCGGTCGCGAGTCGTCAGCCGTCGTCACTCTATCAGGAAGGGCTTTTTCACATAAACGCGGGGTAACAGTCCTCCATTCCGCAATCATAAGGCTGAGTATAAACCTAACAACAATCCACGGATCGATGAACCCAAAAACGCTCGCAAATCTTCCATCTGGACTCCACCCGCCGCTTCAAAGCCGAGAACACTCGCGGTGTATATCCGTCCTAAGTATTCACCGTTGCACAAGAAGTCCGCACTGCGCGTCATAATCGGCTTTACCACCCACATATTACCAGTCTGTATCACAACGGCACTTGAGTCTGTCTAGAATTACCTATATCGGCAGAAGTACGACGGCAGGTAGAAACGTTCGAAGGAGTTGCTTCTAGATTATTCTTTGCTTAAAAGATGTCGAATTTCACCACCTCTCGTTACTCGCTCGTGCGTTACACAGAGAAAGAGGCTCCCGAGGGGTGCGAGCGAGATGGCGAGTCGGCGCGCCCCGCTGTCCGCGATGGGCGCGCTAGACAAGGACGGAGCGAGGCTCCCGAGGCGTGCGAGCGAGATGGCGAGTCAGCGCGCGCCGCCGTCCGCGAGTTGTTCGCAGGCGACGGCCCGCGCCTCCCTTTCCTAGTCCCAGCCGTTCTCTTTCACCATGTGAGCCAACTCGATTATGAACTTCCCCTCCTTGTATTTTTGGCTCGATTCGAACGCGTGCTCCTGAAATGATGAGAAACATTGTTGAGAAAACTGGTATTGCATTTTCTAGCTGAACGGAGCTAGGATATAGGTATCATTAATTCTAGGCTAGGAGCACAGGCATAGTTATGGCCTCGCCTTCTGAATTAATACTAGCTGGACTTAGCAACATCGTAGCCCCGTAGGTATTATGAGGTCTACTTTCAGGGTGTACGATTTATAGGTCAGTAACGAATACTTTTACATTATTATGGCCCTCTTGGCCCTAGGCTAGCTATCTACGCTCGACTTTAGACATTACTATACACAGTTTATGCCTCGCCCTATGGATATCGATATCGGATATAGACAAATTTTACCTTGAAGGCATTAAAAGTGCTTTGCCAGTCTTGTCTACAGTTGTCATCTTATCTTTAAAACTCACGATAGACATGTACTGAGGTGCATATTCGTGAACTATTGCTGGCTTGTCATTTCTTAAATATTTTAGCCGTGACTGTATGAGCAAACTGTCCCACTTACATATTTCCAGCCCAGCATGGTCTTGCAGCACTCGCAGTAGATGTCGGCCACCGCGTGCAGGCCCGTCAGCAGCACCCGCTCCTCCGCCTGCCCGCACCCCACGTTCACACTGCAAATACCGATGCAAACTTTAATAAAATCAATGTCTAATAAATCATTGTCATCTTCAGCCTATAAATGTACCCGCTGCTGGGGCACAGGCCTTCCCAATGAATGGCAGGGTTATTGGCTCACTACCATCTGTTCTACTCATTGTTCTATCTATAGAACATATTACGGGAGAATAGGGAGAATGGACTATGTTCCACCACGCCGGCGCAGTGTGGTTATGTGGGTGCTAACGTTTGCGTTGCAGCCTGGACCAACGACTTATAGTTTCTTCCGAAGCATAGGCATGGTGACCATGCTATCACCCGATTGCAAGAGTTGCTTAACTTTCACAATCGCAGGCCGAATGAGCTATCCACTTCGCCACCGAACTCCTCATCCGTATAATAAGAAATTAGGTAATTTCTAAAAGTAGCTAATTAATAATGAACACAGGCCTTCCTAATGAATACAGAGAATGGTAAAATAATTATTTACTCGTACTTAATTTGCCTCGAAATATAGGTAGATTATGTATTTTATATTTCGTACCACAGTGGATTTTGCACTCGAATAAAAGCGCCCGTCTGGGATATTAACCTTCACCTTACAGTGTACAGCAAAATATCTCAGTATCGGTACATATATATATATATATATATATGTACCAGGTATCAGCAGTGTGTGTAATTTTACCAGAGGTCAGTCTCAGCGGGCTAGAGGCAATTTGGTTCGGGCAGACAACATGAGGATGGTTGAAGCAAGTTATTCAATTGTGATTGCTTTTTAAGCAACTGGATTCAATTCACACTTATGTACTTAACACAAGGTGGGGTGGAGTATGTCATAGGTGAAGTAATGTAGGTACTAGGTTGAATATGAAGAAAAACCTGACTGTGCAGATTGTTGGGTTGGATAATGGAATGCAAGCTCAGAATTATTTCTGCGAATGCAAGTCAGAACTACAGCTCAGCATCTTTACTGACCTCCATAGAGAAATGTAACGGTAACTCTGTGTAGCAATAAGAGGAATATAATGCAAGTATTGGCGGGCTTATGCATGGTGAAAACATTGGCGTGATCTTATATTTCATTGGTCCTGATTCTGTCATGATTGTCTGAACTTAAAACAAAAATTGACACCTTTTCATTCTTTACAGGATCATATAGAGATACATTTGGTTTAAGGTTAAGAGTATCGTGCCAGAAGCAGACCCTCTGTCATACTACTTTATAAAACAAAATACATCGGCTACCTCGCCATGTATGTTCGCTATGATCTCTAAAACTACCAAACGGATTTTTATGATATATTATATATATCAGTTAAATATTTTTTCACTGAAGGTTTACATGACTATATTTCAATCATCATCAGCTCACATATGGCCCCACTGTTGGAACAGGTCTTAGGTATAGATGTAATAGAGAGATCGGGTCATGTATAATGCAAGCCCGAAATCTTTACACCGAAGCGATTTCCTATATCTAGTTATATATGAAACACTTACACTGAATTGAAGAGATATGCGCGCCCCTGGCTGCCTTGGAACGACTGGAAACAACAACATAAGAATAAAACATATAAATAATAATGAAGGATGACAGGGACTCCCAATAAAATCGGAGACTTCCAACTATATTAGATTCTACTATTCATGAAGTATTACGAAATCACGTCTACGCAAACAGGTGCGGTGAAGCCGTCAAAATATTGCTTATCTACTAAACCCTAAGCCATTATAGAATTGGGTCAACGTATAAAAAAATACTGAAATAATATTCGCAAGGCTAGGATAATACGGATCAGCTGGTATTACAGACCAAGTTTCGGCTCGGTTTCGGTCAGACAAGATTCAGCAAGACTTCTCAAGGCACGTATATTAATGGTACAAGCTTTGTTTATGTAATGTATTTGATTCTCTGTTGATAGTTTAATTTTTTACCGTTTGTATGTTGAGAAAGCTTTGCCTTTATGTCTCTGTTTCAAGATTCCGTATTACTGATAAACTTAGTAGCGCTTGTCAATTAAAATCCAGTGGGTGGGTGGTAGGTACCTATACTACGTTTAGAACTAACTAGTTAAGCTAGTTGAGTCAGAGGGTGGATATAGACAGGCAACTAGACAGAAACTTCACTTACTATATGCAGGGCATAATGTGATTTTGAATATTCCTGGTCCAGGTTTCCCTAGACCCAGATTTTAAGTTTCCGGGTTGCACGGGGTAGGCAAAAGGATCAGGACACTATCCGTTAGAAAAGGTTCCTCTGAACCAGACCTTCGGCTGGCTGGCTTTAGAAACCGGAGTAATTCCACAGAACCATAAAGTCGGTCCCATAATAATCTCGTAAGCATCTCCCGGCGGCGGGGTACCAATCCATCATGCATATTCCTAACGCGGTTTTGGTTATCTGTGTGCTATTCACGCGAATATGGAGTGAATGTATATCATATGTATTTTAGCACAGATATTTTATTAACTGGGAATGAGGTATAATACAACATTATACGGATTTTTAAGAATAATACTTATAATAATAACAAAATGAAATAACTTCGATCAACAATACATAATAGAAGTAAAGTTACTATAGGTAAAATTGCATTATGAACAAGTTTGCAATTAACAAGTAAGTACCTAGTGATAATCATTTGACGTAAAAGCTTTTAACGATACCAGTATTTGGTTATCACAGGCTGTGGCAGGTTCCCAAGTCTCGTGTATTACTAATTAATTTCGATTCCCTTTTGCATCAATTAAATCAAACCATATTAAATCGTAAGGCTTCGGGCCCGTTACGCAAATAATTTGCGGCTTATGTAAATAGGGAACCGCTAGTTATTTGCCTGGTAATAAGTAAATGTATCCTACATAGGTTAGTAGGTGATACTATGGAATATCGGTGAGCCTTCCATGCTGAACTGGGAATAAAAGAAAGAGGAATACATTTTCTGCAGTAACAACAGAAAGACACATAGGATGAAGCAACCCATCCTCAACTTTTCGGTAAACGGTTTAAGCTTACTCACGTCGTTTTTGGATATGACGTAACAACGATGATGGCAGACCGTCAAGGAGAGGGTTGGTAAAGCGATATGTTATTAGATCAACTATTTTTGCAGCTAGAGTCAAACGCAGTGTCACCAACATAGGAGAAAATGAGTGACCTGTGGCTGTTTTATAAGGTAAAATTTTTAGGGGGTTTTTCAATTCCTTCCTAACGGATCTTTATATATTCGAACTCCATGGTAACAATACTACTTACTGCGTAGACATTGTCTCACTTGACATTGACACTGCCTCCTTGGCGTGGTGTGGACCACCACAACATTTGCTTGAATTAGGAAGCTTTTACTCTAGTTTTAGGAGTAGATATTTTTTTAGGACTTTGTAACACTTCACCAGTGTTGAACTCATAAATAAGGGTGGGTTCATAGACATAGCATGAACTGCGTGTTCATGTCGAACTGTTGAATAAAACCAGGAACATACAAGAGAAAGACGAAGCGATCGTGCGGCCAATAGTTCGTATTATATATTGACTGCGTCGCTTATCTCTTTTTAGAGAGTTGTCAATTTGATGCGAGTGCCGCACAGTATAACACACTAATATTATAAAGGCGACAGTTTGTGAGTGAGTGTATATTTGTGACTTCTTCACGTCTAAACGGCTGGAGCGATTTCAATAAAATTTGGTATGGAGTTAGCTGAGACCCTGGATTAACACATATGCTACGTTTTACTGCGGGAAAATATCCCTAATAAACCGCGGGTAAGACCGCGGGCAGTGCCGTCTTTGACCTATTGGAGGCCCTGGGCATATTAGGACAATGGGGCCCCTATGACCCCCGTTTGATGATTTAACAGGAACAAGGGACTTTGTATTTGAACTGCGGGGGACCCCTATCGATCGCGAGGCCCTGGGCACTTGCCCAAAGTGCCCACTGGGAAAGAGGGGTCTGACCACGGGGGACAGCTAGTTCTCTATATGTATGAGTGGGTAGGTAGAATCTCACCTTAGATATAAGCTCGTCATGGCTGGCCAGGTGCGCGCGGCAGTGGATGCAGCTGTAGGTGCGGTGCGCGGGCGGCAGGTACGCTTGGAAGGTCTTCACCGGCGTGCGCGCCGCCGCGGCCGTGCCGCCGTCGCCTGCCACGCCGCTTCGGTTAGTCACTCCGTCACGCATGAGTGCCTGCTAGCTGCCAATCACACGCAGCGTCAGCGCAAGCCCTAAGCGCACTATATGGACCGCGATGGGACTGATACTAGTATCTCGTGAAAATTACGTCAAAACACTTCACTTCGCTAGAGATTGACATTCTATGGTGTGCGATGCTGATTAAATCGCAAGTGTTAAAGGATGGTTGATGGTTATCATCATAGTAGAGCTGAGACGGTCGACCACGAGAATTAGTGCGCTTGTGTAGGGGAAAACTCTGCAGCACCTTCAAGAAGACTGCAGGGAAATTATGTGAGTTGATACGAAATGAGTCAACGCCAGCCTTGAACGGTAGGGGAAGGTAACTCGGGAGTGACTCTGATTTTGCATGCGTCTATAGACTATGGTGACCGCTTACCATCAGGCGAGCAATATGCCTATTTGTCACTCTTAATTACATAAAAACTTATTTTCTTCTCTGATCTCCAGATTTTTAGGAAATTTGAGATTATAAGAAATTCATTATCAATGAAACTTATATAGAAGGTCTCTAAAGGTAGGAATAATCTAGTTTAAACTTCTTATTTAATGGTTTTCCCGAAGTCCCTTACTTATAACAATCTGAAGTTACACAAATTATTATACTTTGGGGCGAAACGATATTGAGGCTTTAAAATACTTGTGAAGTGGTTTGACAACATTTTATGACTTAGAGAAACCGCCGAATATTTTGATAAAAAGTTAAAACTTTTTAATTTTTCCTTTTTAGCTCGCTTTGATTTAATTCGAGTTTTATTGGCTAATCAAGTGTAAAGTACCAAGGTAGGTAGCTACTCAGAATTTTGCATTGTGTTATTTTTGCTTATGAAGTTATATGTATGTGACAAAAGTCCCATCGCGGTCCTGTCCGAATAGTGCGCGTGGGGCATTTTAATAACAGCACCTTAGATCAACCATTTTATAGATAACGGGTCAGCGTGTAAAATCCGTCTCGGTAAATATAGCCTCACTTGAGGTGTGAGAAATTAGTTCGGTTAATACAAAATGAAGTAACACGCTGACCAATGAATGGAAAAATATTTTATTTTGTGGGTTTGATTTCATTTTTCCTTTTTTCATCTTTATTGTTTTTTTCCAAGTATCAGATATAATTTGTTTAAATTGTCTCGTTCGTTTTATAAGATAAAAGGTCGTATGTGCGTAATTACATTTTGTTACTTGTTACCTTATTCCTTTGTGAGATAGTTGTGATCAGGTTCAACTTAAACTGTTTTAAAACATTTGTCTTTGTTCATTGGAAATCGAATGTAAATGCATAAATTTACGCGGACAGTTTTTAGCTTTGATTTTGTATGCAACCCGTTATCTATAGAATTGTTGATCGAAGAACAGCACTCATGCGGTGTCGTATTATAACAATCAAGTGGCTCAATCATAACTCTATCTATTGATTTACCTATTGCATCTGAAACAATAATAAAACAAGCGTTAATACCAACCCAATGAAAATGATGTTTACTGTAATAATATCAATAGTTTCTTCTGCTACAAGAATTCTTATAAGCATTGAGATGTTTGCCAGAATTTTACTGTAAACACATATCAGACACCTGCACATTGGTTTTTTACGAACGAAATCGTCTACTGTGCTTTGGATTACTTGAGACCAGTCAAGATGTTATTATTTTCGGAGATGATTTAAGATTCAAATGCCAAATAGGACATCTTCGAGATGTGCAAAGAGTTACGAGCGGTCCCCCCCTCTCCCGAAAATCATTGCATGTTATCACATGACATTGAGGTAGTAAAATCTAACTCTAATCGGATAAAAAATATCGGAGGGAAACAAAAACGGGGGAGAACCGCTCGTAACCCTTTAACCTCTAAGACTTTGAGATCAGGTGAAGCCACTGATTTGGATGAATGTCGGTCCAGAGCACGTTATATACCCCCTTCTGCTCATTTGTATTCAAAGCATAGGCGGCCTGAAGATATATGAGAATAAAGGAACTTGTATCCACTTTCTGGCAATGACCAGAATTCAAAGCGAATTAAAATTACACGTTGGCAAAGCTTAAATCAGCTCCAGCACGTAAATGGCTTAGCGTGGGTTTGGACCTTTTAAACGCGCTTACTTTTGTGTATGCAGTCCAGGTTTTAAAACCGTTTGTGCAAGAAAGCTTTCGAAAGCCCAGTCTGACTCAGGACTTTGGAGCAGAAAAGCCTTTTCCAAGGCGTAGCCTAGGAGGTGTACTATATGCAGGGGCATATTTACAAATCTGGTGCCTTGGGATATTGACAATTTGCAGAATTAGTAAATTAATTTAAAATATAGGTCAGTAACGAGTGCCTTTAAATGGCTTCTGTCACCCCTCGCAGCTCTTCTAGCCACCCCTCGTATCGCCTCTTGGCTTTAAGGTAAATACGCCCCTCATTATATGTATTATGTATAACAGGTAGTGTTACGAAGAGCAGGCGAACAGAACGGTATAATTACATAACATTAAATTTTACAGGAGCTGTAAAAAACTGAATGACACACCTCTACAGTGAGCTTTTGGCGTGATTTTTCATTTAGTAATTTTAACACTATTTTAGGCGGTTTTGATTGACTTGAGTTGAAATTCAAATTCAGCTGGCCCAAAACCAAAAAAGTAGTATATGGTCAAAACCATATGCGTTATTTTACCGTGTTGTTCGCCAGCTCCTCAATTGTTTATAGTTCGTGTTCGTGTTCCCCTCACCTGCCTGGCGCGAGCAGCACGCGCCCGCTGCCCACATGAGCCGCGCGAACCGTCGGTCACCTGCCGCGGGCAGCGTCCCACCGCGCCGCGCGCGCCCTGCCTATACCCGCCACCCTCTGGAAAGATGCAAACAAAAACATTAGTCAAGTATCTATGCGAAACCTACAGAATAAATACTGACTGACTTCTGTTTCTTAACACATAGAAAGTGATTGAAACATAATAGAGGTTCTGTACCCTTAGTACGAATTTTTAACAATTACGAAAACTATGATAGTTTTCGTGAGCTCGCACTCGTACTAAGGGTACTGATTTTATTGTTTTCGTTTCAATACAAATAAACAGTGTTTAAATTCTATCATTAAATCATTTGCGTCTTCTTAAATTTTAAGTATATTTCGTTAGTTTTCACCAAAATGGACATAGAAACATAATTTACCATTACGAAAACTATGATAGTTTTCGTGAGCTCAAACTTGTACTAACGGTACTGAAGCTAGTATTCTGCCGCGCTCGAGTAAATCACAAAATCCCCGCTTGGGCTCCTAAACTATAATCGTCTGTAATCACCAAAAGTATACAGGAGACTTAAGAAAAATATCTACATAAAAAATACTTCTCTTATTATATTAAGTACAAATACTTAGGGATATACGAGTAGGTAATAGTATTGAATAGATAAATCTTTAGCATTGTCTACACCGAGTGTTTCAATTAATGAGTTGATTTATTGTTAGGCCTCGAACAATAGGGTCCAACAAATTGCCACTAGCTAGGCTACTACTGGGGGTAATTGGTTAATTAATTTGCCACATCGCAAACTTATCAATCGAATGAAATTTCCTTGGAGACGGAACATTGATTTCACTGGCTGTTTATTTAATAGCCTTAGGTAACGTTAGAGTTGTGCAACTAGATTAAGGTTCGCTGGTAAAAGGTACGTATAGTGGGCATTTACTAAAGTAAATATAAACAAATAGAAGGGCCGATTTGTATACATAACGGAGATTTAACTTCTCAAGTCCATGTTAGTTACGTAAGCGGCCGTCATAACTCATATCGCTAATTTATGTAAGGATGAGGAGTAGTAGGAGTAAATTTAATAATAAGCAAAAATTAATAGATAAGTAAAAATGTAAGCATTCCACTACCCTATAGAGTTCTCGCAATTGTAGTCGTGACAGGGTTTCAATAATGAGTTAAGTCTTTAATAGAAAATATTTTCAAGCTTCTTATATTAAGCGCTGCAATTCGATAGTTTATTCACATCCTATGCCCACAGGATGAGATATACAGAGTGGATTGAAGATGGGTGTAGGGCTTAAAAGGGAACGCACTAAATGGTATATTTAGGGCCTAAATGGATCAATAAGACTATTTAGGACCATTTGAGCCATGTTTGTTTTTAGACGAAGTATGATAATCGTATCATATTGTATTGTATCGTATTGTATCATGGCCCAATCTCCTTATTCTATCTATAGGGAAGGCCTGTACCCCAGCAGTGGGGTCATTAATAGGCATGATGATGATAATCTAATGAAGTTCCTGGCAGTGCAGATGCGGGATGAATACATCATTTGTACCTACATATAAAATGGGAATTTTCGTTGAGCTAAAAGTGGACTTTCTGATGTTGCTCTATAGCTATTTTTCAAGCAACCAAGCGGCAAGGCCGGTGGATCGGTCCGTATCGTGCGTTGACTCTCGCTCCGTTACAAAAGGGCCTTCTACTTGTAAAATGTTTAATACTGCATAAACCGTAATAATATAGATTGATTTTCGTAACATTAAAAAAAATGTCCTTTTTTCCATGCAAATATTGTACAAGGACCAAATATTGAAGTAGGATCAGTGCCGTGGGCAATGTAATAAGTAGGTATTTGTATGTGAGCTGTAAAGGTTAGAAACAGACTGTTGAAAATGAAATAATAATAACACGATGACATTTAAATTAAAAAGAGTGACAATAAGATAATGAATGAACGAAGATTAAAGAAAGAAATTTATAAAACGAATGTGAATGTCTGGAATTGTCGGTAGATAATTATTGGTGACGATCCAAAAAATACGGGTAAGTATTTATTTAGGTACCTATATTAAATATATATTATCGCAGCGACCGGTGAATCGCTTGAAGAAGCCAAAAAGGTGTGTCTGCCCTCCTATCAGAAGCACCGCGATATGAAATATAGCACGTTTTTGTCACGCTCAATTGTCAAATTAATATGGAGTTTGACAGTTAGACACGATGAAAAACGTGATAAAATGTATGATTTAGTGCTCATGCTACAGGGACTGGTTTGAGACAGTACTTACAACTTGGAGAAATAAGTCTGATCGTATGTATGGATCGATAAAATAATATTTATACATATAAGGTAAGTACTCCTAGGCTAAGTAATTCACCTAGGTATACCTACTGTTTGTAAAAAAGCTAGTGAAACATCATTATTATTCAATTATAATTGCAACGATTGCTTAAACATACAATCGTCAGTAGAAGAAAATAATAGGTATTATACGGTGCATTTTCACAATTTGTTAACAGTAAGTTAATTAATGGAAATTGCACAACAAAGTGATGATTGCGGAGTGACTGTGACCTCACCTTCGAGAGGGCACGTGTGCTTTCTCAGACTTCATTATAAAGCATTATATAATTACTTAGCTCATTACCAACGTGTCGTGTCTGATAACAATGTCAGAAACTATGTAGTGGCGAAGCGTCATATAAGCGGGATTATTATTCTTTACGAGACTTAAACTTTAGCTTATAATTCAGCACGATACTACTGATGATTAAATAAAAATTATTTTATTCAGTCTAGCTCAAGCGAGTTGCTTATGCCTTCAGTTCGCAAATCGGGGCCCCTTTATCCTTATATGCCCAGGGCCTCCAATAGGTCAAAGACGGCACTGAATGTCGCCCACTACAGAGCATACACCTCCCCCAAAAATCGCCACGACGATCGTCAGTCCAATATCTGTATATCCACCTCATATCTGATTATACAGTCTCCACTGAACAGCAGTGCCATTCTGTAAGACCAAACCCATCTTCCACCGCGGAATCCGCGTTGTAATTTGATATTAGAATACGGATTTCAAATAAATTTTAAATCACATCGGTGAATGCCGCGATGAAGTGAGCTTGTTCTTACAGAATAGCACTGCAGTGCGACCTTGAACCTTCGTATGAGACCTATAACAAACGACCACGTTTCGTTTACATGGCCCATACTTACATACACTTATATAGATTATCGCAGACTGTCAATCAAGCACCAGTCACGGCTTCAGGCATGTTTTGAATACTTATTATGTCAACCAACGTTTATTTAATACTTCATGTAAACAAATATAATGAGAAAAGATACTTATACGATTAGGTACATACCTAATCTAAGTATTTTTTTATAGATAGTTAAGTGACGGTGAAGTCCAGACGCGAAGATAGCTGATACAGCAGTTCTACCTGCCACACCAGCCATCCTCACCCTGCCCGCCTGCATGTTGCTTCTTCACGCCACTTTTAAAGGATCCCAGAAAACATGACGTAGTGATCGTTATAGTAAAGGAATGACCCATTTGTCTATTTATGTCTAACAAAATATCTACTTACATCGCTACGTTGTTCTCAAACATGTTGCAAGGCTGAAAATAATAACCTAATTATATATTTTCTTAGGAATCTCCTATATGCTTTGTTACGAGTGTATGTACGCATAAAAGAACGTCGAAAATAGAGTTGCGAGCCAAAATTGTATAAAAAAATTCAAAGCAATCTCTTTGCAGTCTACTTATACCTACGCATGTAACTAATTTATCTTGTTTGTCTCGGTATATAAATACATACATATATAAAATGACTCACTAAACGATGTTATTATTAAGGTCATTGACAGAGAAACACTAGGTATAATTAAACAATATCAAAAATATTATGAAACTAATAGTAACCAAATAGATCTGTGGAAAAGCTTTTTCTCAGGTTATAATATTAGTTATAAAAATATGGCACTGATTTAAAGAGGCAGTTGTAAATAGCAGTTTTGGTAAGTTACAAAATATAAATGGCACGTTTATTAACTAGTTCAGCATTAAAACTAAGCAGTAAAGTAAACAAAAATAAGTAACAAAAAATAATGAAATGAATCAGTGAATATATAATTGAGCAGGAAGCAGTGAATATATAATTGAAAATAATAAAATGGGTCGTAAAAATTATTAAACGAGCGGTTACATTTGGGCAGTAATAAATCGGAATTTATCGGTAAGAAATCTCATTCTAAGCAATTCTATATACATATTCTATTCTATATCATTTCAGATGTTTGTGTGATGAATACGAGCATTTGTACTCCAGTCATGGATGTTTAATATGTATTTTCTATAAAAATATACTTATATATGTACAGTATATGTATTTTATCCGTTACCCTAGTATCCCATAACACAAGCCTTATAGTGCTTACTTTGGGACTAGGCTAATTGGTGTGTGTTTAAAAAAAATTAAAAAACTATAAACAATGAGGTGGTAAAATAAAATAGTACTTAAATAGTAATGAAAAATTCAATTACTTTTGCTTTGATTGAAGGAATTAAATAAAACAAATTGTATAATAATAATAGGAACTCTTATTCGTAATTCGAAACATACATAAGTAATTAAAATAAACTAATAAGCTCCGCCCAACTTACGAATATTTACCTCTATTTTCAATGAATTTGAGTTCGGATGTCACCGCTCGCTATGACCTGCGGAACTATTTATCAAACCGCTCATTCCATCATTTTTACCGCTCATTCAGTTATTGGACTGTTCAATTATTTTTAGAATTGACATTGTATGATAAAATAACCGAGTATTTGATTTTTATTACTGTTCATGTTTTGTCACAATAATTAATCAACCGCCATTAAATTAAATAAATGCTCAATAAGTTTTCAACTGATCACAATTGCATCTCTAATATTTAAATAACAGCTCAAAAAATTAGTTCCCTAAAAATATTTCTTCTTAGGTCGCGCGTGAATTCTTATAGAGTAAGATCCCATGGCCGACAGACCTTACTAATTTACTGATGGACAAACTATGGATAATCGAGTAGTATTAGTTTTTACATTAAACAGTAGAATACTATAC